GTGAGCTGAATGACAGTGTTAGGCTGGGGGAAAAATAAAGCCAGCTAACTAGTTTTGAGAAGTATAATACCAGATATTCAGGGCTGACTAGCCTTTCTACCTCCAGAGAATACCTTTGCATTGCTTTTTGTGGAGTGATTCTCTGTCTATTTATTGCTCTAAAACATTGGAAACTACAGTGGTGTAAGGAAGCATTTTTAGCTTACTGAGACTATGCCAGTTTCTAGTCTGATGCTAGAAGAGTGATGTAAGAGTTATTTAGGGACGTAGCCCTGAATTTCTTACTGAATTCACAATGACCTGATTTACAGAAATAAATGATTTATTATGCATTGCTTAAATACTTGTGGCTGCAGTACTAAATATATATCAATAATGTTGTTGCAAATACTTACTGTCCCTAGAAATAGTTAAGGTGAGTAAAAGAAATGAGGACATTGAGGGCTATAGTTCTGTTTAATCTGTTTAGGTAATAACACTGCTGAGAATTTCTGTAATCTGGAATGATTTTCAATTTTTTTCCTTGGGGCTTAACATTTGCAAACTTAACTATGTGTTTTGGTGTTGCCCTGAATTGCTACTTACCCACTTTAGGATGCTCAAGTGAATTGTCTTCTCTGGTTTATTATTAATCTACACAATGAACACACCTTGCAGTCTGTGTTAGCGGCTTCTGTACTGTTTCTTAGTGTTAATTAGCCCACACTTTCATACTCTTCACTTTTGCGAGTTGCTTGCTGAATCAACTTACTAATTGCTATAAAAACCTAAGCCTTTTCTGATCTACAAATCTTATATACATAAAGTAGCCTGAAAAGAAAGCCCTTAACAATCACAATTTAGAAGTAAATCCCCTAGCTTAGTAACATGAGTTTCTAGGTGGTAACCATTGTGAAACACTTGGATTCTCTTAGTTATAAAACAGAGGGAGCAAGAGTTAATGGATCAGTGCAAACAAAGTGGATTTTAAATAATATTAAACATTCTATGTTTCAATAAAATGCCAACTTTGTTCAGTGTATTGGGTTGCAGGCATAAGAGTTCTGTGTATTTTGGAGTAGATGAGAAATTTTCTCCTGGGGAACTGATTTTGTTAAAAAATGCTGATGTGATTCAGTTAAAATGCTCTGTGGGAATTTTGGCAGATCTCTTGATGGAATTGATAAACCCTCCTTGGTGCCTTCCTGCCGTGCTGGAGCTGCCGGATCCTGGCAGGCACTCGGGGGCTGCATCATGTGGGGCTCCTGCCCTCTGCTCCCCTCCCAGCCTGGGGGGCCACACACCCTCCCTCTGCCTGGGGCTGAGAAAGAAGCTGTTCCAAAACTCCTGCTTTGGAATCAGCAGGAGTCTGTTAGTCAGGAAAAAAGAACTGGTTTTGGGTTTTGTTTTTCTAAAGACTGAGTTGGTCTCCAAATCACTTTGTTGGAACCAGATTTTTTCTTTAACTTTGCCATAATTTGGGGGTGAAAAGAAGCTGGGGACAAAAAGAAGTTTCAGCTGGAATGCTTTGCAGGGTAAGATTTCTGCTTTACAGCAGGTGCTAGTAGGGACTGAAGGAGAGGGCTGAAGGGCTACATGCACAGATGGTGATAGACCATGCTGTACCAGTCTGGGAAAATGATTAATCAATACTACAGGGACTTATTCTAGCAATAGGTTCTTTTAATTTGGCCTTATGTTTCTCTGCTTGGGAGTTCTGTAAGAGAACGTTCTAAATGTGATGCTGATTCAGCGTCATGATGGTTTTTGAAAGCAATAAAAGCAGTTCTTTGGGTTTTAGCTGGATCGTGATGCAAATGGCAGTGAAGAGGACAAATGTTCTACCCATGTTTCTAATTGCAAGTTGCATAAATATGGCTTGGATTTTAATGAACGGGACTTGGGATAATAATACTGAGGAATAGCAAATGATTAGTGAGCAGGATGTTTAATGCACATATTTTGTAGTCCTATTGCACTTTTGTTGCTTTTGTAGGTAACCTTCATTCTGACACTTCCCAAATTTTGAGTTTGTATTTCCAACTTTATTGATCTCTTAAAAGAAACCCTGTAACTTCATAAATCTTGTTGTTGACAAAAATAAAAAGGAAAAAAATTACACTGGTGTAATTAATTAATTAATAGCATTGGAACTTTGAGGTTCCTGATTTCAGGTTCCAAGCATTTCCTTGCTTCATGAGTTACTGTAGTATGTTGTCATCATTTATGGAGGATCAGTGCTGGAGGAAGAAAATGTTTTCCAATGACTGCAAGGCTGTTTATCTCTTCTTTAATGTTAGTAATCTTCCTACTGCTTGACTTTTCCACCTTGTCCTGTTCCATTCCCACACACATGTCAAGATTTTACTAACCTGGTTTCTTTTAGTACTTAACTCCATTGGAGTTTTCTGCCTAAGCTAGAACCTCCCCCTGCTCTGTGCTGGGTTCTGTTGCTGCTCTTAGGCATCTCCTTCCCCTGATAGTTCTTGTCCAAAACAAGCCACCTTTTCTCCCAATCACAGCTTGAAAGCTTCCTGTTCAGGATGTACTTGCAGTACTTCCCCAGGTGTTGGCAAGCAGTTCTCCCTGCAAGGTGGTTCATCATGTCATTTTTTCCTGCCCTCAGCCTCAGCTCTTTCGTCTGTCCTCCCTCTGTCTTGCTTGTTTGATTCCCACCAACCTGCTGATGACAACTCCCTCTCCCAGTATACACATGCTTTCCCTGCATGTTCAGTTCTTGAAGTTTGTCCTGACCCTCTTCTCCCATTTCTTCTTCATGCCCTACCTCTTTCCTGTTCTTTTCATTCCCCTTTTTGTCCCCACCTGCTGCCTGCCACCTTTGCAGTATTTCAGTTTCTTCTGCCACTGTGGATATCAGTGGTGAAGTGACTGAGGTTGCTGGGAAGGTAGTCCTGAATTGTCTGTGAGGACTCAACCTCGATCCAGCAGGAGCTATACTTGGAGGAAAAATAGCCTTGAGCCAAAGAACACTTGCTTCCTCCATCAAAATGGCTCATGAGCAGATCTAATGTATGGGGGAGGTTGAAGCGCACCTGAAATCCTCAGAGACTTCAGTCAGATTCTTAAAAATATTTTACTCTCTATTTATTTTACTCTTTCTGTCTCTCTCTCTCTATTTGTAAATATATATGTTGGAGGCACAGAGAAGAACATTGAGGGGACAGACAGGTTCTTTTAGGGGTCTTTGGCAGAATGATGATAGCACTAAATCCTAGGGACCATTAAAGAGTTATTTTCTTAACAAGATATTATGATTAGCATAGCACAGAATGTATTATTAGAATGACACATGAGTTCTACAAGCAGAATCAATGTTGTGTAATTTGTAACATAATACAGAATTTATAATACAACTTCACTTATTTCTAATCACCTTTGCAGGTCAAGACAAATTTTTAATAGATGTTTTGCTGTATCAATACAACAATCATAATTTAGACTCAACATTTGTATAAAATAATTTGAGTCACACCCTCCATCCTTGGAGAAAGGAGTTCCTTTCTAAGGAGTTACTTAGAGTAATAAAAAGATGTATTAAAAAAGAACACAATGTGTAAACCAAAGTCACCTAAGGCTGAATGTCAAGACTGTAAAGTAGTGTGCTCTAGGATGTTTTTTTCAAGGAATTCATAAAAATCTTCTTTTAAATGCTTGTGTTGACCAGATGAAATGCACAAATATCCTTTTAAGAGGCCCTCTTGTGTTAATGGGAAGAAGACGGTGAAGCAAAATATTCCTTTGTGGCTTCTGAAAGTGCATATGTTTGAGTTCCAGAAATGCTGTATTTAGTGGAACCTCAAGTAGTGTTCACAAAGCTACTTGAAACAGACTGCTACTTTGCACTATCATGCTTAAGTAGGACATAGAGCCCCTAAATACCCATGGAAATTTAAACGCAGGGAACAAAAACTAGGCTCAGATCCAAAGCCAGCTGAAGCTGATTAAAAGACTGCTTTTGGCTACTGAGTGCTCTGGCTTAAGCCACTTGCAAGCTAGATTTGAGTTTCAGGTGTTCAGACAGACTTGTCAGGTTTGTTAATTTTGTAGGTTTTTCTTCTGATTTGTATTCAAGGTACTGTCTGTGATTATAGGTGATATCCCAATGTGTACAGTGCCTGAAGCCTTACATATTTTCACTACTGAGTTCTAAAAATAGTTAGTACATAATATTCAATACCTTAACTATACTTAATCACCAGATCATGTATTCTTTTTTATGGCTTGGCACTATACACTGTTAAAGCACAGGTATACCTAGAGATGATCTGCTTACTCGTATAAGATATGCCTACAATTAGAAGTGAGGAAAATACATAGTATGAAGTTCTTGATTTGGCTAGTTTTAATGTGCTACTCCATTCTTCCCATCCTGTTAGTTATCTAAACTTTTCAAGCTAGGAAACAGAAGAGAGCAATATATTTTCATATAAGACATGTCTGTAGAGTTACAAATACAGGTTAAAGTGAGAGGTGATGGTCTGCATGAGTCAGATGACTGTTTTGTTTTGCTTGTTTGCATGCTTATCTTCTGTTTTAGAAATAGAAAATAAAATATTTACATTTTATAGTAATGTTTTTTTGAGTGCAGTCCAAGTTAGTTCCTTCACTTAATTTCACTTGGCATGTTTCCCCACTTATGTTCAGGCCAGCCTGTGAAATTAAAGCTGTATGTAGGTACTAGCTATCTGTGTGCTGTGTTTCCAATTTCTTCCAGTTGAGAAAGCTGGAAATTCACTTTTGGAGTCGAGTGAAGATTCTGTTCCAAATGTTAATAGATGTGTAGAGCTTGTTGACTCTTCTAGCTGAGCGTTTTTCCTCATATACTATTCAGCAATAAAATTTTTCTCAGTACAAAAAAGGGTTTGGATAACTCTGACGTACAATTCTGTAAAGCATCCTGAAGAGTGAGTTTTAGCACTTGAGGGTCAAAACGCTTGTATCCGTTTTGGGGGATAAATTGGAAGTTGTTTTAACTAATTTCTTTTGTATTTGACCTCTAGGTTCCAGCAAGATGTGGAGTGACAGTGCGAGACAGCCTAAAAAAAGCGCTGATGATGAGAGGTCTTATTCCAGAATGCTGTGCTGTTTACAGAATACAAGATGGGTATGGTTTGTGTGGGATGGTTTTTTGCTCTTGGAATCAATTGTTGGAGCTACCCAGAATGGGCAGTTCTATCCAGAGATTGTTTACAGAGTTCAGAATTTTATGATACTTTGCGCTAAAGAATTTGCAGATTGCAGGCATGTTGGAAAGAATGTCTTACTCCTAGGAAAAGGCTCAGACGTAATATTCAGTAATATGAAATTATGGCAAACCACTCATTTAATTAAACTCGTGCTAACCAAACAAGTATTAAATAGGCTGTGTTAACTTCTTGGTTTTATTTCATTTGGCTATAATGCATTCTTAACGAAAGACATAGTTCCTTGGGATGAGAAAAAAGAGTTTTCAGCCCTAAAAATTTGTATATTCATGTGCACAATTAGCTATCTCTGTGGAACTCTTACACAACAGGTACCTTCACAAACACTTTATTTGATCAAAAAGCCATCTGCCATGTAGGAAACAAGGAATTGGCCACTACTGGAGCTGATAGAAAAAGTGCATTTCCTTCCTGCAGTTTGTCCAGGGAAGGTGTGCTTTGTGTGCTATGTGCTGAGCGTAAGGTCTTGTTCTAAAGTTTCCTGCAATTAGACTGGGTAGCAATCCCCCACAGTGTAACTTTTTAGCTGATCTCACAACTTTGGCAAGAGACATGTAAGGGCTTGTGTGCTGATGCTAATGAGAGGCTTATTTGCACTTTAGAGAGAAGAAGCCAATTGGCTGGGACACAGACATTTCCTGGCTCACAGGAGAGGAGCTTCATGTGGAAGTTTTGGAGAATGTGCCACTCACAACACACAATTTCGTATGTACTGGGTTTTGTGAGATGCTGAGTGGGGTTACATCAACTTCATACTTTGAAATTCAAATTACCAACTTTGAATATTTTGCATTTGTGGGATGTGGTAGGAGTGCAAAAGAAGTTTTTAATCACAGTAGCTTAAGTGAATTAGATAGAATTGTATTTGAAATAAGTGATGCTAGAGTACTTGATCACCCTTAAAACTTTCACGTTTTGTTGGAATACACCCTCTAAAATCTATAAATGTAAGGGGTTCATATCAGTACTGCATTGCAGAGCTGTAATAATCTACTATTTTTGTATTGCTGTATCTATAAAATGTATTCTGGGCCTCCCTGCTGGCTCTGCAGCAGCAATTAACTAATGAACTAACTATTCCCAGAGCAGTGCTGACATCATCAATGATGCAGTGCACAAATATGTTTTGACCTGATAAGGCACCAAGTAAATGGAAGCTACTAAACAGAATCTGTCTAAATGCTTCCAGCTACATACAAAATCCTGTGTCACATTGGGAAGAAAGACCTTCTATTTCAGCTTAAAACATAGCAAAATTCTATCTGCAAGCTGTTTCAACCTATTTAGCTCAAACTGGCAGTTTGGGTTATGGCTAGTTAGGTGAACTCTAGTAGGCTTACATTTTTTATATCCCACTGAAATTCTGATTATTACATGTAATAATAGAACTAAGAATGTGTTTTTACACTAGGTATTGCTGAATTTGAAAATTAAATAAATAAATTCCCCCCTGTAATCTGGGGAGAATGCGTGATCATCCTTCTGTGATTTTGAATGTTTCTGAGTTTTAGTAGTCAAAATTATAACTATATCTGTAACCATACATTGAAGCCATATATATATATGTATGCCTGTGTATTTCCAGTCCTGTGATATTATATGGGAATGTTCTTTGGCTTCTGGAAAAGTTAGAATATGAAATAATATTTCAGCAGCTTTTGGTTTTATAGGTTGTATCCAAAAAAATTCTCAATGTTTGTGTCTAGCATGATAATAGTAAAGTTTTGCTTCAGGTTTTTTGCTCTTGTTCTTACTGCTAGTGATGTGAACCATTAATTCCAAGAAACAGTTGAAAGAATGTTGTAGTGCATGAAAACTGTTTCAGAAAGGAGATGACAATCTTCCGTGTAAATCTGTTTGGTACATAAAACTGTAGCTCCAGCATCACAAAAGAGACTTTTAAGTACACTTGAGGGAGGTAAAAGCAAATAGCCTATGTTGGGCTTACAGAAGGACTCGAGGTGATTTTGACTATTTTTGCCAATGTAGGTACGGAAAACGTTCTTCACGTTAGCATTCTGCGATTTCTGCCGGAAGCTGCTTTTCCAGGGGTTCCGCTGCCAGACTTGTGGCTACAAATTTCACCAGCGCTGTAGCACAGAAGTGCCACTGATGTGTGTTAATTATGACCAACTTGAGTAAGTAATCACAATTCATTTTCAAGTTGAGCCTTTTAACAAGTGTACAGCTGTCAGTGATTTCTTGTGTTAAATCTGTAACTCAGGAAGTCAGTGGAGGTGCCTGAAAAAAAAATAGGAGTTCAGCTGTTCTTGTGACACTGCTTAATTCATACTCTTTCTGTGCTAGCTCAGACAACCAGTTCATATTTCTTTGCTGGCCTATGAAGTACTTTTTTTTGAAGTATGAATAGGGTTGCTGAGCACTTGACTGTATTGGACAGACCGCTCATTGTGCACAGTTGTTATTATTAATCAAAACTGGTTCTTTATTGTGTGATGGTTAGGGCCATGTTAAAAATTTAATTGTGGGTTTATTCTCTTCAACCTGAAAAAATGTTAAGAGACAGTAGTTGATTATAGTGAAATTGCTGTTGGTTTTACAATAATTGAAAATAAATCTGCTAGCAAGATTAATGCCTAGATAAGAGCCATAAAAGACAATGACCCAAGCAGTCCAGTGTTCTTGGATTGAGTTACTGAACTATTTGTTCAAACAAGTCTTTGATGTAGATTTAGGATCTCATGTAAACTGGGTCTGTTCTATTTGATTAGTTTCAGCAGAGGCTATTAAGTCTTTTAAATAGATTTTTGTATAAGGAATAATTTAAAATGCTATTTTTCTCACCAAGAATGGATTTAATTTTAGTTTATTTTGGTATTTCTAACTGTTTCCATTGGCATCTCTGGAGTTTGTGCTCAGGGTGTAAGTTTATGTACTGATAGATAGAAGTTGTTTATTCTTGAAGAACCAGATGTTTACAATTCCATCTAAAAGATTAAAAAATTAATTTCCACAAAGTTTATATTTAAGGCATGATCTTTTCATCATCTGTGAAGTAAATAATACTTTTAACATATCTTGCAGATTTAATGTGTATGATCTTTAGTTTTAAATTTAGAATTTAATCAATGAGGTTTTGGGGTTTGGGATCTTTTTTGTAGTTTTTGAGTGTTATATTGTGAAACTTCTGGGTTTTGCACAAGTTAGGTTGTTTTTGTTCTGTTCTTGCCTCACAGTTTGCTGTTTGTCTCCAAGTTCTTTGAACATCACCCCATACCACCGGAGGAGGCCTCCTTAGGAGAGACCACCCCAGCATCTGGATCATACCCCTCAGTGCCCCCCTCAGATTCAGTTGGGTATGAACTTATTCCTACTGTTTAATAATATAACTTTTCAGTACTGTGCTAAGAAACACTGGAAGTAATGCTTTGCAGCTCTGCATTGTAGTCATCTGGCTTCTCATGCAAATATACCCACCTATGCTTAACTTAAAAGAAGTGAATGTTTTCATTCACACAAATTGTATAAATTAGTAATGAGCCTAGGTTAAATGTGTGTGTAACTGTCTGTAGAATTGGGGTATTACCTGTTTCTTACTGATTTCTTCCACTAATAATTTAGACCTGGTCTAAACTGGAAAGATTTTATACTTAAAATTAATATAAACCAAAATTATATCCTCAGAAATTATTTTAGTTGGTTATTAAATTATATTTTATATGCTTTGAAGTGACATATGTCAGTTAGAGAATAAACCACATTACTGTAAGGCTGATGTGAACAGGTGCCAGTTCCAGGTTCATAATACTGTTTTAGTAGCTTTTCCACATACACTGCTTTAGTATCCTCCAGACCAGCTGTCCTCTTCCTGTTCATGTTGGAGTATACCAATAGCATCTGTTGCTGCAGCTCCAGGTTTTGTAAAAGTAGACCTCTAAAACTCACCATTTCCAACAGAGATTCTGGACCCTTTCTCCATGAAGAGATAAGAGCCCATATTTATTTATGTTCCCAATAGCAAAGAGATCAGTGACACCATCCACCATTAGGTAGCTGAACAAATGTCCAGGGAAGAGTAACTCAGGGATGTATATCACGCTCAAGAAATCTGGTGCATATTTATTATGAACACCAAATACGGAAGCCTTCAGAAAACCATTCCCAGGACATGTGTGCTGTGTGGAGTTGAGCTGAATGTGGCAGAGAGGATCTCTTGAATTAGTGCAAATTGTGCCTAAATGAAAGCAGAAACACACTGGAAGCCACACAGGCACCTCTGGACTCTTTAACTAGAAGATAAATTTTCTGGACAGCCAAGAATGTTTTATGGAAGACCCAATAAAATGCCTCCCAGGAAAACAAATTGACAGTCCTCTGCAGGAAGGAACCTCACTTGGTAAGTACAGAGATTATGTTGTTACTTGTTCTATTTTGTGCAGATTCAAGTGAATTCAGAAGGACGTCTTCAAGGTAGTGAATGTTGCCTTTAGATGCTGTGGATATTAGTACAGCAGGTTGTGGCAAGGCTGCTTGTCAAGTATTTGTCGTGCTACAGCCAAAATTGTAACTGGGCTAGAACTATTAATTCATGAAGCAACTTCTTCATGCCAATTGTGTTAAACACTAGTGGATGTCAAAGACACTATATAGCCCTAATTTTAACATTCTAAATTGTTCTACTTTTCAATTGCCTTTGCATCACATAGGTCCATTCTTACCAGCTTGTGAGGTTACAGTAGTATGGATTATCTTGATACATACACTACTTCAGGCAGTCTTAGTTTTGCCAAGTGAAAACAGAAGGAAAAAATGAGACCAAAGCTGGTTAATGCCTTGAGATCTTTAACTTCACATACATAAAAATGAAAACATTTAAATACACTTGCTAGTTGCTGTTTAGGAGCTTTTCTCAAGTGTTGCATCTATAAATGTGTGTAGTTGCAGAAGATGTAAAACATTTCTAGCTTTCTCCTTTCTTCTTTTTTGCTTTGTTGTCCACTTTATTGATAAACAAAACAAAGGCATACATCATGCCTGCCATATTCTGTTCATTTTGGAAATGGTTTATGATTATCAGCTGGTGTTCATACATAATATGCATGTTAGTCATACAGTGTTCCCCTAGCATCTGTGTATGTAGCACTTCGTATCCAGAAGTAGCTCAGATGTTATTGGATGTGCATATAGCTCTCTCCTGTACCTTTTCCCAGTTATCTTTCATGCCTTTCTTTAATCATACTTTTCTGCTTTTTAAGAACATAATTGTGAAAATATTAATCTAGCTGAATTTAAAAAGCTGGCCTTTTCTATAAAAACATGTACTCATCTGTGGTTTTATTAAAGAGGACTGTTGCAATATGGGACAGCAGCTCAACTGGAATAAAAAAAAAGGCTGACATTTGAGCTTATATTGTCTGGGAGGAGAATATGGGATTAATATTTGAGAGCTGAACAATGGGATGGAAAATATGAGGGAATAGCGCTTTATTAACACTTCCTAAATTAATAATTGTTCTTTTAATTTCTCTGTTCTAGCATCTTTCATGGAACAGCTCACAGAGAAAGGGATGTTACTAATCGTTTGGTAAGCCTGAGGAAAGAGAAGGCAAACATCCTTCTTCATCTCTAGCCTTGTGAAGGGATCCCAGCAGCAGGCCAAGTGCCCAAAAGAAAGAAGTTTGTGTTGCAAGACAAGTTCAAGAGTGAAAGTGTGCAGTGGGAGCAGATGGAAAAGTTTGGAAGAGAAAGGGACATAAAGACCCTTGGACATGATGCAAAAGCTGCTAAACATGTTGGAGAACTGTTTCACTGTGCTCATGTACAACATCCTAAAGCAATCCAGGCCTGTAGCCTTTCATTCTTCCAACTGTGAGCCATACGCAGTCCCACCAGGTTTTCCACCCCAAGGTGTGGGAGCACATATGGTCCCATTTAACATTTTTGAACCCCTTATAAAATTGTGTCTAGCAATTAGGTTTTGTGTCTTATTTTAGTTCTTTCCATTTGCATTATCCTGTTGTGCCAGAGCAGCCATTTTAGTTACAACCTGCAGTTAAATGGAAAGAAAAGTGAAGGGCTCCCTGCTAAGAGCCATTTGTAATAAAATTGAAGTAAGGAAACTGTATATCAGACATTGTATTTGTTTTGTTCATTGCACTGTCATGAAATTTCTTCTCCATCTTGGCTTGTAAAATATGAGCACCGAATTCCTGCGAACCTGGTTCCCCTCAGTCTCATATACATGAAAAAGAGAAAATAAGCAAGTTGGCAACATCTTTGCTCTTTGAAAAACAGCATTTCCCAATATGCTTCGCCTCCTAAGCTAGAGGAAGAAAAGGGGAATGTCTGGTGCACTGTTCTTGGAAGCTTGCCAGTCCTTGCCTTTGAGCAGGCTCCAGCTTGTGATTAAACACCTCTGCTTTCCTTTCTGTTTCCAACTGTTCACTGATCATTCTGCGATCTTGAAGATACTTGAATGTGTAGAAAAGCTTCTGAAAAGCCAAGGAAGCGAAGATACAGTCTTAAAATATTACATTTTATGCTACAATGCCATTTAGATCCTGTGGTATGTAAGTGAGCAAAAGCTTTGTGTTTTAATTCATAAAACAGTGAACTTTCACCCTTAAAGTTCTGGCACCAGGCCTTTTCTAGGTTCCTCCATGAAAATGTTCCTTATGTTCCTACAATATACAAGTTGAGTTGATATGCATTCTTGCTTTGCAGAAAAGGTTTGGTATCAGAATCTTTACATCAGAATCAAAAAACTCTCAGTCCATACAACAGGTGAGGGAAACCTCTTACTCTCCAAAACTTTATTTGCAAAAACCTGCTAGTGAACTGGACCTGGTTTGGAGGACTAACAGTGACAGTGGTTCTCTTGATAACCCCTGGTATATGAAGCTATGAGGAATTTTAGGCTCATCAGCTTTGATCTGGGCCCAAAGGCCATTATAGATGAGTGCACACCATTTTGATACTCCTGACAGTTGTTTTTCACCTACAAGCCAACATGAATGAAAACAAGTTGTCATGGTATAAAAAAAACCACTAATTTGTGTGGGGTAATGACTTACAGATCTGTTCCATGATGCTTCTAGACTGACTTCAGAGGATGCTGCAAGAAAGATATTTAGCTTGTAGTTACAAACTGGTATTGTCCTTTTCTCCAAATTTTCATTTGATTTGGGATTATTGACTATTTCCAGACTGCAGGGATAGGGAAAGTGGTATCTCAGCTATAGTAGCAAGCAGGTAAATTTAAATTGTAAACGCTAAACAGGTTCTGATTTAATTATTGTGGTACTCCATAGACATTGCCAGAAAACCTAACTTTTTAATTTCTGTGTCCCAGATCCTTCGCAGTCCTAAGAAACTGCTTGGAACTGCAAGTGTACTGTTTTCTTCATTAAGGGCAGTAACAAATCCAGTCTGGTGTTAATGCTCTGGTGTAAACAAAAACAGTCCAAAAAAGCCTTGATATGCATTTTAGCTTAGGTTTGATATGGATATGAGTGTGCAGCCTTACAGGTGTGCAGCACTGAGCCCAGTGGCTAAACTGAGATGGACTTGTTCAGGGTGTGAGGAGGAGGAAGAAAATCTCAGTCTAGGAGAGATGCTGTCATTTTAAAAAGGAATGGTTGCACACCTTATAATTGAAGCTAGGTGAATGTGAATTTTCAAGCATTTACTCGAGTACAGAAAAATAAAAATACAGTCAACAGAAATTTGAAGCCCAAATAGACCTATCATAAAAAATTTCAAGAAAAATCTTTCCTGTGTAGACCAGCTCTTAGACACTTAAGAAGCATACATTGATGAGTAAAGGACATTAAGGAAAATCTGTATTAAAATTTTCTTTTGCACTTGTAAATTGAACTTATTTAAATCATTGCAAGTTCTGAAATCCCATAGACATACTGATATGTCTATGGGTATATGATTTTGTAAAATTGTTTGTTTATATATAGCATAACATGTGCAGACACTTTTCTGAGTTACTTTACTCTTTCTTGTGGACCCAGTTTTGTGGGGTAGTAAATCTGTGGACACACGGGCACTTGCTATGCTTGGTAAAGGGTTTAAGTTATTCTTGTTTCCTGATAAAACATCTTTCTGTTTTGCCTGATAAAAGGGAGAGAACAATGTGTTCCTAATCCCAAAATATGGTCCAGGGTAAAAGCATGTTCTGTCATACTGCCTGGAAAGGTTATAGCATATTAGATTGAGATTTGACAACATCAGCTTGTTGCCTCAGAGACTCATTTGTTAAAAGGATGCCCATATCTCGGAGGCTGGGAGAAAGTGATTTATCTGCTTATTTGTAGAAGGTCTCCTTTAGCAAGGTGGCTATAAAGGCCACAGGAGCAACAGAAACTCAGATCCTGATATTCAAACTGCATGTTCATTTAAGCCTCAGCCAGTTATTTTTTTCAGGGTGGGTTTTTTGTTTGTTTAAGGTTTTTTGTGTGTTTGGTTTGGTTGGAGTTTTTGGGGGGCTTTTTTGTTTGTTTGTTTTTTTGGGGCTTTTTTTTTTGTTGCTTTTTGCAGTGTGTTTTGTCAGCACTGTACTTCCACAACCTAAGAACTAGTTTTGGAACTGGCCTGGAATGGACTATGTCACCCTTTTCCAAATGATGATATCTGGCCCTTTTAGCTGCAGTGTCACTTCTACTCTTCTTGAGTCATTTCATTGTAGGAATACTGTAGGAACAGCCTTTTGGTAGCTCAGAGGATCACTATGTTCTTTGTGGTGATGTGATTTTGATAGAACAAGATCTTGATGCAGGCCAGGATCCAGCTTTTGCCACACACAGGGAGAAGCTGGTGGTAATATTTTTCTGAGCTTGTGATCTCAGTAGGCTGTCTTAGCTAGCAAACCCTTTGGCTCTTTTACTTCACTAGTTATCTTTTTCAAGAAAAAATTCTATTTAGCAGAAATAACCTACATTTTTTCAGAGTGTCTCAAGGACACCCATTAATAAAATCATGAGGGAGCACGTGGCTAACTGCTTATAAGGTTCCAATCTCTGGATTCTTTGTTGTCTAAAGCCCAGAGATCCTCCAAGTAATAGATTAGAGACCAAAAAAAAAAAAGATAATTCTTTATCAGCCTATTTTCTAAAGATGTGGACTTCCCCCAGTAAGAACTGAATGAGTAGAAAAAGCTGTTCAAGTTGTTTTCAAACATGGTATGATGTAGCACACTATCTGTGTTAGTAACATGAGGACATGATGACCTGTGACCAGAAATACAGAAGTAGCAGATGACCATTTATCACTCAAAGGAGGATGTAATTGAAACAATATTGCCTCAATCTGGTTTTCTCTCCCTTGGCTTACTCATGATCACAGAATGTCTGACTGCTTCTGGCTTTGTCATGTGGCAGAGCTCAGATGGTTTGTCACAGTCAGTCCTGGCGCAATGTTCTGGTGATTGTTGTGATGTATTTCCCTTAATTTCCTTATTACCTGAGAACTCTCAGGAAGTTTAAGCAGAAGTTAGCTATCCCTGCAATGACAGTACTGGCCTTTTAGACAATTTTTAGACTTTTCTTCTGATACTTCTTTTGTGCAGCATTTGACACACTTGACTTAAGGTGAAAATGGAGTGCATTTGGATGTCAGTCAAATCCTGCATTAGGATCTGTGCAGTGTCCCATCTCCTGATGTGTGTTCTAGTCACATGATTTACGTACAAACACATTCAGGAGTTCAAAACTTCCTCATCTGCAATATTTTACCTGTAGGTACTTGCATAGCAGTGAATGAAAACTTCAGCTTATGTGTATGTACAACAACTGCATTTAAAAAAATAGTTCTGAAATTATAAACAGCTACTGAAATGCTGAGTTTTTCAAGGCCCTTTCTCAGAGATTTGATTGGTAGTTTTAGTTCATTGCTTCCCAGTATCTTCCCAATATCTATATCCTGTCATGTGACAGTAGGTAACTGCTTTTTTTTATTCAAGTTAAGCAGGGTTAAACCCTCTGCCTCTTCTCTCCTGCCCCACTTCCCAAACACATTCAGGTATTTCATTGGAAGACTTACTAGACTGTTACTTGAATTAATTCACAAGCGCTTTGTTTTGCCATTTTCAATTGTGAGATTGTTGACCAGGAAGGAAAAAATGACAGGTACTTAGGATACAAATAGCACTGATTTCTGGGATCAATGCCAAACTGGATAAATTTTTCAATGAAAGGTAGGATAGTAGGCTATAAAACAGACCACTTTCTGAAAAAATGCCAAGATGTCTTGTTGAAAATGTTTGTTTCCCCAAAGGTTTTTAAAGAGGCCAAGGAGCATTGGTTACAAGAGGTGGCATCAGGACCTATTGCTGCTGTATGCTACTGTCGATTTTGTTTCTGAGGCTTCTCCCTGTGGACGTTGCCTTTGTGGGCTTGATAATTAATCCATGAGTCATTGAACGGCTGGAGGACTCCACTCCTCTTTTATAACTTATAAGAAAAAAACAGCTCTTAAAAATCTTGTTGTCAGATACCATGTATATTTTACCATAAAGTTTTCTTTGACAGAGGTGGCAAATGTTTTCATTAGCCTTTTGCCTTACATCTATTAGATTGAATTATTAGGCTTAGCAGTGACTGACCTTGACTAGGGTAAGAGATAATTGCCAGTTTATTGCACTTTAACAAAAGTAATGGATAACCGAAGAAGTGACTTTCTGCCTTTTTACAAACAAAAAACCCAAGTATTTAGTTGTTTTGTCTTTTGAATATTCAACTCATTATGCCATAATTAAAGGCTTTATCTACATTTATGACTGGCAGTGTTTGCATTTCTTCAGGAAGCTTGTTTGTGTATTCTGAAGACTTACCTTTTCAGTCAAACCTATTGCATTGTAGCACCATAAATAACACTTGAAATGTTATTTATGTGCTATTCAAAGTTGTTTCTTAAAGGTTGAGGTTAAAGGGTGATATGTTTATTTTTAGTGTCAGTGATACATTGGCCATATTGTTTGTAGTATCAATAATACGTAATTATTAATCAATTAGGTTGAATGACCAAATGTAATTTTCACTCTTTCTTTGGTGAAAAATAATCCCATCCATACGTTTTGTTTTATGACATTTTCTGACTGTAACATTAATATGAGATGTTAAGCATTTTTAATTCTCAGTTGGTTACTATTAAAATGAGTGTATTGCATTGACTCAGAGGTGAGGAAACTGCAGAGTATCTTGATATCTGCAATGCATGTAGGGCAGCAGGACTTTTTCAGATGAGAATTTATTATTACTAGTTTGGCATTGTAGGGTAGAGTTTTCATTGTTTTAACTCAGAACACTTCACAGCCATGTGATCAGGTAGTTGATGCAACAGAGAGTTATTGGAATTGATCATAGGGGAGTAGAGACTGTTCATTATTAATTGTTTTTATTCAGGGCTTTAGATCAGTTTTTTTGTTATGTATTATTATAGTTGAAAAGGACTTACCACACCCACTATGCAGTGTTTGAAGCCATTTGTAGACCTAAATCCTCTTTTTCCTTGACTTTGTTTCTCAGACCACCAATTCTCCCTAGTCCTTCTCCTTCAAAATCCATTCCAATCCCACAGCCCCTCCGACCAGCAGATGAAGACCATCGGAATCAATTTGGGCAACGCGACCGATCCTCTTCAGCTCCCAACGTTCACATCAATACAATCGAGCCAGTCAATATTGATGTGAGTATTGCTGACCATTAGATCAGGAATAGTAGATGTGATGTGTTCCTTGTGAATGTCAGTGTGTTGAGTTCATTGTGTACACAATGTACACTATGTTTCTGAGATAATCCTCAATGATTTGCCATAATCTTCAAAGATCATTCATTTTTCATTTTTTTAATAGATTCTTTTGCTGTTGAGAGCTGTAAGAACATAATCCATTCTCTGAAAGCAGAACTGCCTTTTGGCAGTTCTGTCCTTTTAATTTTCAAAGAAACATTCTGCCCCAAACAACTGCCTTTTTTTTTTTCTGCCTTTAGTCCCACAGCTTATGCTGTTAGCATTCTGTGTTAAACACATTGTTATGCAAGATAAAGACTTTTTAGTATTTGTATTCCATGTAATAATTTTGGCATTGAAGGAAACTTAAATAATTAAATTAAGCTGAGTTCACATATTCTGATATTCCCTAAGAGTTTAAGAGCCCAGTTCATGTTGTTTTGAGCATTCCTTGAGAATGTTCAGAAGCTGCTGCATTAAGGTTTTTTCCACAATTTTGAAATCTCTGGGTGATGTAACTAATATAACTAATAATGATGGTTGGTATTAGCATAAGGACAGCTAGGACCTTTCAAGATGTTGCCTTTTGCTAACTTTGCTAACATACACAGTTTGTATTTTATCCTTAAATCTGCTGTCTAGAAATTAGTCATTTGTTGGGTGAGCAGTCTTGAAATCTGCCTGGACACTGAAGCACAAAATCAGTTTTGGCATGTGAGCTGAGGGAAAGGTGAAATGTTAAGAGTGTGGCTATGTGGGTATTTGTATGTGGTATATGGCAGTGGTACAGCTGAGGCATAGCCAGCGCTTTTGGCAAAGTGCAGGTGTGTAAGGAAACAAATATAATTTTGGAACAAGAAGAGAATAAAAAAAGCGCTTTATTATAAAAAAGGACATACAGAAGCAGACTGCTAGAATTTTCTCCTTCTGTTTATAGAGTCCTTAGTGTAGTTTGCTTTTAGTCTGGATGGGCATGTTGCAAAAGATAGTTTCAGCTCACAGAGGATTGCAAGTGAAGAAAGCCTTCTGCAGATAGTAATTTCTGAGAAGAGCAGTGTGCCTGGCTATGCAAATCAGGTATATTGTTATGAGAAAAAACAAAGCAGGATTCATTTGACTCATGTACTTCAGTACAGAAAATTCATGTCCCAGGTTCTGATATGACAATTCAAACCATTTCTGCTACTGACAGCTGTGTTTTTAAATCAATATTTTCTTGTCAGCATCTCTTTTGGGTAGTGTACATTTCACTTTACTGCAGAGAGATGGTGTTTTAAAGCAACTTAATTTTGAAAAGTGTAGTAGTTGAGTCATTGCTATTAGTAAGTCAGGGTAGGAAACCACTTTTATTTCATGGGCAACATATGACACTATGAATTCATGAACTTATCAGTCTCAATTGATTCCAGAATGTAAATGTTAATACCTAAATTAAACACAGCTTTTAAATTTTTTTATAGGACTTGATTAGAGACCAGAGTTTACGAGGAGAGGGAGGTAAGTAGCATTTAAACTACTGTGTTACTTTTAATTACACAACTGTTTTGTCTCTTCCCGCTACCCTACTTCCTTCTACAAAACACAGCCACAATGCAAAATATGACTAGAACAAAAAAGTGGATTTACATTTGCTTGTCCATGAACTTAGTACTTGTTTCATGAAGATTTGAGTCATTTGCTGGTCATTCTGGGAGTGGGGGAGACAGAAGGAGAAAAAGTTTTGAAGTAGTATCTAGTTTTTTTTAGTTTTAAATTACTTTTTTACTCTTTCTCTCACCCACCCACACACACACACACACACTTATTCACTCACATGGCTGCACATAGATACACAACTTCCCAAAGATTTTTATGCCTGTTGTTACCTTTTCACACATGGAAACAACAGGGGTTTTGAATGAAAACCATCATGGTAGATGGGCCTTCCATAGGAACTGCTGCATCCTAAAGCAGCTTGAAATACTCCAGTTCTTCTCCCCCTCTACCCCTGCTGAAGTTGCTGCTTTGCTGTACTGCATGCCTGTGCTACTCTTGGAAGCAGATTATGAGGATCTTACACTAAAGCCAGGTCTTTTTATGTTTCCTTCAGTAACTGCCCTAATTCACAGTTAAGTCAGAATTAGTGCCAGAGGGTTTATTTTTCTTCACGTGTTGTGCATGGGCCTCTTAAGTTATTTCTCCCACTGGTTGTCAAGGTCCTGAAGAGGGTTTCTTATGTGCTGTATTTATTCCTATGAATATAAGAATAAAGCAGAAATACTGAAAACAGAGAAATACTAAGTAGGGCGGGCATATGACAGTTTTTCCAACACCAAATCAGTAACACAATTGGTTTCTACTGATTATAACTTGCTTCAGCCATAAGTATGGGTCTGAATTACCATAGTGCACCCTTTCCTGATCTCAAAGGTTTTGTGCTATCGACTTTCACTCACTTTGTTTCTGCCATGCAAATCTGGTATTTGGTAAGATGTGTTGTGTTTGATGGAGCTGTCTTTAATAATGCCAGCAATAGGCACTTTAAAGAAAGAAATTTCCTTTAGCCCTGCAAGCTACTAATTGCAAATTGCCAGTTTAAGCTGTTTTTGTATGTGTTGATAGGTGTGGCTCTCCAGAGTTTTGCCCATTTTGTTCAACATTTAAATGTTGTGCGATCATGTTGGTTTTAACTTTCGATCATAAACCGTCTGCTTGGCATCTGAAAACAATTGGCTATTTCCAGTCCTGAAAGAGTGCTCTTGGGAATTGACTTTTTTTCCTTCGAAGTACAGAAGAAATCTATAATTAGGAGTCAAAGCATCCTAGTTATTTCCCATGACTTCTTTCATTTCTTCTATGTGTCTGTCTTTCTGTCTCTGCCTGCCCGTCTCTTTCTCTCTAACAGCCCCTTTGAACCAGCTGATGCGCTGTCTTCGGAAATACCAATCCCGGACTCCCAGTCCCCTCCTTCATTCTGTCCCCAGTGAAATAGTGTTTGATTTTGAGCCTGGCCCAGTGTTCAGAGGTAGTTGGGCTCTTCTTTCTTGTTTTCACCCAAACAAAATAAGTAAAACCACAGATGCTGTTTGTGCCTCACCCTCACACCGTGTGTATGTAAGTGTGTGAGTTTATCAAAACACCTCTGTTTTTTGCTTGGCCTGGCTGGAATGCTTTGAATGTGCTTTTCACACATACTCACTTTCACCTTTACACGCTTGAAAATGATTATAAATGAAGTCTGACTTAAATCTCCAAAAGCAAGGAATTTCATAGTTGAGGTTTTTCTGTGAACCTTAACCTAATCTTTCTAAACAAAGGGCACTGGATTGCATTGCAGTGATTTTAAATATGAAATTATGTCCTTAACTTAGAATTTCCTTGACTGTTCAATTTAAGTCAGTTCAGTGCTATAGCAGTCGTCTGTATTTAATATTCTCTGTTTTGAAAAGTGATGTAGGAAATCAAATGTGAATTACAAACATTTCCATTGATATCTTGTTAGGTCTCAAACTTTTCAAGTAATGTGTCATGTCAGCTTTCAACAAATACTTCGTTTTGACAGTGTGCTAGTGACACCACATCGGGGCTCTGGATGGTTTTAGTAGTTTTTATTTAGTTAGTAAATTTGACTGAAACATCATTTCTGTCCCATACTAGGTAAAATAAGACACTCTAGATTTTCATGTCATTGGCCGTGGGGGTAATTCAGGCCTTGAGCTGTCAATGGATCTGTTGTATTGCACAAAATCCCAAAAAAACTCTGTGGGATTTCGTATGCTGGAGAAACCAACTACTGAGTAATAGCATGAAATGTTCATACTTGTGTCTCTACATAATACGTGTAGGAATGGTTAGTTCAGTGCATGTAGTGTGGTTTTCAAATGCTACCGTCTTGGCTGTTTCAAAGACTCTTGTTTCAGAATATATCAAGAACAGCTCACCTTTTGCACTTGTAAAGATCTTCCAGAAGTCTTTGCAAGAAGACAGGTGCTCCCAACAAGCAAACTGGCTGCAGAATGAAATATGTTACGTACTGCTTCAGAGTCCAAGCTATTGACTTAAATCCAGCATTATCTGAAGTATTCTACTCTAATAACTTGAAAACAGGCCATCTGGTATTATTATGAACAGATTAACTACAGTGTTCTGCCATGTGCAGGAAGCACTTTTGGTGAAGGGTGAATATTGTACTAGCGTTCCCATATTGTGGTATTAAAATTTAAATAGAAGATTTTGGTCAAAGAAAATGTATCCCAGATCTTTGCTATTGCAGAGGAAATCTGTAACCCAGTAAACTTTTAGGAAGTTGCTCATGTTCTGGGAACATCATACATTTGATTCTACGTATGTTTGATTTCAGATGAATCGTATAATAAATAAATGACGATGTCATGGTCATAACATGAACATAAATCCATCCTTCAGGTCACTGGCTTCCAGCTGATTATAAATTTAGTTAGGATGCACAATATACATCATTATTGTTTCTTTAGTATGTGGGACAGTTTACAGATGCTGTTTACACAGCATCTGTATCTGTTGGTATGTAATTTTGTGCATCCACTTCCAAGTGCATAGATTTTAGCTTAGTGAGTCCAGTGATGAATACATATAGTCTGAATAAATTAGCATGCACTGAGTGACTGAACTTAAGCAGCAGTTTAAAAAGTCACCAAGTCCTAGTTGCCATTAGGAGACACTTTTTGCTTAAGAGGGGAGCTTCTAAGAGAATATGAGGAGTATTGTCTTCCACCACTTCCCAGAGCACTGATGTGAGAGAAGGCTGTGGAATGTTAGAGGTCTTGTTCAATGACATATATTGTTTAGCAAAGCAACATGAATTTAATTAACAGTTGACCCTATTTTATGTCCTTTGCATTGGAAGGGTCAGCATAACCTTGTTAGGAATAATTGTGATGTATTTTAAAAAGCAGTGTCTAGGTGAAGTGCTCTATTTGAAAAGGGCCACTGGGGCTCTGAAAGAGCTCTCTTAGTAACATTTTCCTGCATAGATTTGTTTAGATAACCTACAGGCTACAGACATACTGTTCTTTTTGTGTTTCCTAGAATATGCTTCAAATAGCTAACTAAAGTACTTGTGCTTTTTTAATGCTTTCTAAAGTCTAATATTTATTTTTAAATAATAGTTCTCTGCTAACAGATAGCTTTAAAACAGCCAAATGATTTTCAGGTGGCGCTTGGAGACTCAACCAGAAAACATTTCAATTATTTACATTTAGTCTATTTTGATTCCAAAGTACAATAGTTCAGCTATTTGTTGGGTTCCTAAAAGCTTAGCTACAAGAAATATCAGAGGTAGATGGTGCTAACTAAAATGCTACTGTTCTTCTCAAAGAAAGTGATGCCATTTTAAAAATACATCCTAAAGTATTTTTTTCTTTCTTAAAAAGCCATTGTCCTTTTGTTAATTCTTGAATAAGAGATATCTATACAGGGATGTTTGCTATAGATTTGTCTCTTCCTGAAATCTGAGACACGAGCACTAATGTAATATTAGGACAATATTCCTGTATATGTTTGTTCTCTCTTAACATTCACATTGATGTTTAGAGATACTGCATCTTAAACACAATTCTTGCACCTAATGTCAATACATTAAGGGAAGGTGGATTCTTACAGATAAAACTATTCTGTTTCTGAAATTTAGGCTCAGCTGCAGGCTTGTCTGCAACACCTCCCGCTTCTTTGCCCGGGTCACTAACCAATGTGAAAGCGTTACAGAAATCACCAGGACCCCAACGGGAAAGGAAATCATCCTCATCCTCAGAAGACAGAAATCGAATGGTAAGGGAAAGATCAGCTGTTTTCTTTTGTAGAAATATTACACAAGCATCTTCCTCTCACTTTTCTTTCATCCAAGTTCTATAAATTATTTTGAAGATGAATATGGCAATGATCAAGAACTTGAAACTGATAAATAATAGAGTGGGATAATCCACTTTAAGCCCATAAATAATTGTGGGACTGATATATAAATAATTTAAATAATTCACTAAACTCACTTTTACTAGTGTGACTCATATTGTAATGCCACTTTCCCTTCATGTAACAGCTTAAATTTTCCCACCATGATTCATAAACTTTGAAAGTAACAAATGTAACAAATTTTTATGTAACAATACATGAAAACATAAAAAGATCCACTTTTTAAAAAATTCATAGTTTAGTATTATGACTAACAATTTAAAATCAAGTATGCTTTCTTTTTAGTAAGCCTTTCTTAATATTTTCGGATTTTAACACTGGCAGAAAGCTGTTACAAATGTTTCATGCCAGGTAATAATTTGGCATACCTGTGTCCTGAGGTTTTGTGTAGGGCTAAGTTTAGAAGTCAAAAATCAACATGTGAAAAAGAACATTTTATCAGGACATTATTGATGGTGAGAAATTTTTAACAAAGGAGCTGTTTTCAGAGGCATTAATGCACTTGTTTTCTTCCTTTTTATTGTTTCTGCACATATATGAAGAAAACTCTTGGTCGACGGGATTCAAGTGATGATTGGGAGATACCAGATGGACAGATCACAGTTGGACAAAGGATAGGGTCTGGATCATTTGGAACAGTCTACAAAGGAAAGTGGCATGGTATGTGGCCATGATGTCTAACAGCTGTTCTTGAGGAGGTCACAGTGCCTGCCAGGGCACACCCAGCTGGACAGCAGCTTCCCAGAAACACACCTGGGATTCTGGTGGGCACCAGACTGAGCCAGCAGTGTGCCCATGCCACAGAGAGGGAGATGGCCTCCTGGGCTGCACTAGGCATTGCCAACAGGTTAAGGGAGGCAGGGGTTAGGGGTTAAGGGAGGCAATCCTTCTCCTCAGCACTGGTGATGCCACACCTGGAATGCTGGATCCAGTTCTGGTCTCCTCGGAGCAAGAGAGATGTGGACATAATGAGGAGACTGCAGTGAAGGGCAGTAAATAAGAGTTTTAAATTAATAAGTAGTATGCTAAATAACTAATGTAAGAACTTCATATTGCTTAGAAACTCAATTCTTACATGTTGTTCTGAACTGAGAAATTATTAGGGTAAAGATGAAACTTCTGAAAGGCAGAAATATGCATCTTGATGAATGAGGATTTCAAACGTGTATTTTTAATAGCTTTGGCCTGGCTATGATTTCTCAGAGTAAAGTAAGAATAGTATTGCTACATTTTACTGAATATTGACTTACTTTAAAATTGTAGTGATTTATTTCATGTAAGCTAAAAAAAGTGTATCCCAAAATTTCTGATGCCCTGTACAACATTCTCTCAAGAGAGGAATATGTATCAATGGTACTTACTAAAAATTGCTGTTTTAAAGGTGATGTGGCAGTGAAAATGTTGAATGTTACGGCACCCACACCTCAACAGTTACAGGCTTTCAAAAATGAAGTAGGAGTGCTCAGGTAAGAATATTTTTAATGGCATGAAATAATGTGTGTAGATTTGTGCTTCATTAATCACTGAATTTTTAGATCTCCATTGGAACACATTGGTCTCACTCCTACGTGATGATACCTCAGGTAGAAAAAATGACCATTTAAAAATATTTCTTTGTACCCACTGTGTGTTTGTCTGCACTCCTATGTTGTCAGTACATATATGTCCAAACACTCAGAACTAGTTTTTGCCAATGTCCTGTCCCCAGGGCTCAGTCAAGCCAAAGAGTGAGTTGTAGGCCTTCCTTTCCTCTATTCACATTTTGCAATTGAAGGAGAACATGACTGATGGTTGGTTTTTCAGCTACAGTCCTGCCCATATTATCTGTTGTTTAATAGTTTCTGTTCAGTAACATTAATTTCTCTGAGTTTTTTTTTTTAATGTAATTCTTATAAAGTAATTTCATAATTTCCTTTTCTCATGTCTGCTGCTTCTAGTATCTCAGAGGAGGTATTTGTTTTGAGTTCAGGTCTTGAACAAAGATCCGTCAGCATGACATGATAGAATATATATTTTGAAGAAACATTACATCAAAATACAATCTGGAGCAGTGATGAGCATAATTGTGTTTTAAGAAACAAAATAGCAAGAAGTTTTTTGTCCCTGGAAACCTGAGGGGTTGAGCTGGGAACCTGTGCTGTGGAAGCATCCCAAATAAGCTAAGAGGAGAAAGGGAATGGTCAGCCTTTTACCCTAGGAAAATGTTAATTCCAAAAACTCTAAGCTCATGATTGTGGAAGTAAAGTCTTTCTGAGGTGTGCTATTTTGGGTATCTCTTAATTTTCTTGACAGAATTTTGACAGAACTGAATGAAATCAAACATCTTGGTCCAGCTTTCTGCTGGTAGTCCCTTCGATGAAGCCCAGCCTGTTTGATACAAAGTCACTTGTTCTATCCTTTGACAAGGCAGATTTACCTATAGTTGTGCTTTCTCCGTTAGGATTCATCATTACTTAGCTTTATGGTAGGATTTGCAAGAAACTTCTTGTTTTTTGTTTCTTCAGCAGTTACTCTCAGCATCACTTGACAAATTCTTGAACCTGAAAAAGGCACAGTCACATAGCACAGAACTGTCCTAGTCCACATTGCTGCAAGGACAAAGGCTCACACGCTGGCATCCCGTGTTAATTTTTTAGTAAAAGAAAACATAAAAGAGCTCTGACATTTTTCAGTTACCCCAAAGTAGTTATTCCATGTTAGTATGATAAGCAAGGCTAACTTCAAGAATAATTCATTAAATTAATCTAGCAAGAGGTTATCATAGGAAAAGTTGAGATTGACCCAACACCTTCTGTTTGAAAATATATATGTAGACTGTGATAGATCTGCCTGGGTTTTCCTGATTTCTTGATCTGATTTCCTCCTGATTCTTATGTTTTTGTAAACAGGAAAACACGACATGTGAATATCTTGCTTTTCATGGGTTATTCAACAAAACCCCAGTTGGCTATTGTTACACAGTGGTGTGAAGGGTCCAGTTTGTATCACCATCTACACATCATTGAGACCAAATTTGAAATGATCAAACTAATTGATATTGCACGACAGACTGCACAAGGCATGGAGTAAGTATTGAATTACTTGTCTGCAAATGGGCACTGGGACAATGTTTACTTATCCCCTTCACACTTTGGCTGACATTGGCAAATAAGGCCAGCTCTCTGCTCACTTTGCTGAGCCCAGGGTCCTGTCTCAATCATCAAGGCATTTGGTGAAAGTATCAGAGCTCTCTGAATAACAGGTTTCAACATCTGAAGAGAACATCCCTATTTTGTTCTAAGGATTGTAAATAATCCTTACTCCCATAGAGGGCCATCGAGTTAGAATTTACCAAAACCAGCCAAATATTATATGTCAAAATGAGAACACTGCTGTAAGAACAGAGAAATTGCACTTCAGCTGAAAAACCACTATGATGATTTTTCTACTCAGTATTCCATTACATTTTCAGTCAAGAGGCGTGGAGGTGTTTGCAGCAACCAGCCTTAGCCTTCTGTTAGCCTGTGCATCTCCCCAGGCTCCATCTGTAGGTAGGGGAGATGCAGAAGCTGTTTTGTGAACACGATTCAAAGCAGAGACACAAATTGGGGCTTTTCCAGCAGTTTTGTGCCAATCTCATTGACTAAACAAAGAGCCATGGGAAACTAACTCAGGCTGTGTCTGCTGTGGGGCAAGTACTTTCCTCTGTGTTCCCTGCCATCTGTTTATCCAGGCTGCAATCAGGGGATCTTTTTTCCACTCCTCTACTAAAAAGCAGTCAGTGTACCCGAGTACACATGAGACTGGGAAGCACATTTAGCTCCTGCAATTTAGAAACACCTTTTCTAAAGCTGTGACTAGCTCACAAAGTCTTGACAGTCCCCATTAAGGCTGGGAGGCAGAAATTGCAGCACGAAAAAAATAAGTAAAGTTCTTTTTACTGTGAATATTGAATTAGAATTGAAAAGCAGAATTTGGAGCATAATTGTTATTCAGCAGTAGCATCAGATTTGAGCTGGAAGTCTAAGCTTTATTTTATTTTTTCCTGTGAATGTTGCAGAAGCTGTCATGGGTAACTGAAGTTTTACTGCCTGCATAAATGTGCAGTTTGAATGTCAACAGAATTCGTTTCAGTAGTACAGTGAATTTTGAGTTGTTGATTGATGAAGTATTATCTAACCCACCTAATCTGTGATATTCCTTTTCAGTTATTTGCATGCCAAATCAATCATCCACAGAGACCTCAAGAGTAATAGTATCCTTTCCCAGAGATTTTGGAAAGTGAAAGCATTCCTGGTTTTTGGTTTTGGTTTTTTACTGCCAGAAATTAACTTACTGATGTGAAAAGCTGTTGGTGTGTGAATATTTGCCAAATAGAAGTTTCACTGAGAAGGGGTAATATCACTAAGAACAACATAGGAGATGCTAACTATGTCTTTTGATTCAATTGCAATAACATAGGGAATTTTAGTTGGTATCACAAAGATTTTTTTGCATCCTTTGGTTTCTTCCTGTAATGAAAGATTTTGTGAGCTGGCTCACGGAACATTTTCAGCTTTTCTTGTACTTGGCACTTCATGAAAGCCACCTGGCCATGGTCTGTTCTGCACCACTGGCCCAGTCATTACTTACATAACCCTTAGATACCATAATTCACCATGCTGGCTGCTTAAAACCTGTGTCATGTGGAGACCTTCTTCAGTGATGCTGAATGGTTAAAACTGTCATGTTCATGTTGTATATTTGTAGCTGTTCATTGTTCTTTTAAGACAGGGCCAGCACTGCTTGTCTGTTTTCCCTTAACATTCCCCCCTTAGATATTTTTCTTCATGAAGACCTCACAGTAAAAATAGGTGATTTTGGTCTAGCTACAGTGAAATCACGATGGAGTGGATCCCAACAGTTTGAACAGTTGTCTGGTTCCATTCTATGGATGGTAAGCAAGGGGGAAGTGGTGAGCTTGTTTCAACAAATTTATTTACCTTTGGCCAAACTTCCTGCTCCTCTCCCTCTGGCACACTGACATAAGCATAGCGTAATAACATAAAAGTTGGCTTAAGCTGGAAAAGACAAGCAGTAATACGAAGTAGTAAGTGAATGTTTTCCAATTCTTCTTTAAGCGTGTGTTTTCCAGTAGTCAGCAGAAAAACTGTAGTGTCTCCATCTTTTATTTGAGCTTTATACTGAAGTGAAAGTAGTGGCTAAGGAAAATGAATTATTAATGAATTATTATCATTAATTAATTATGTATCATTAATCTAAAGTTGAGGAGAAGGTGAGAAAAGCCTTGCAAAACATCCTGCAAAAGAGTAGAGGAACTAGCTCAGCAAAAAGTAAGATGCTCTTAAGTTTTAAGGATTCAAGAAGAGTTGCTTCATACTGCAATCTCCTGTGCAGCTCCACTTTCTCTTTTTCTCCCTGGAAAAACTTAAAGCTCTGTTAGCTGGCATTATTTTCAGTGTCATTAGAATTCTAGTTTCTAAATACGTTCTCAGCCTGGCCAAGGTAATTTTGCTCTATCATAGAGGAATAAAAGGGATCACCAAGCTGAAATGAAGCAATGAATTTTGAGATTCATGTCAGCATCCACTCTATATTAGGACCCAGTAATGCCTGAAGGCAAGAGTGGACCTTGCACCTGTACCCTGGACAAGTGCATGTTTTGTTCCTGGTAGGTGAGGTGCAGCACAATGGAGAAAAATAAAAGCTAATTCTTGCCTTTTCTGGTACAGGCACCAGAAGTTATTCGGATGCAAGATAAAAACCCATATAGTTTTCAGTCGGATGTGTATGCATTTGGGATTGTTCTCTATGAATTGATGACTGGACAATTGCCATACTCCAACATCAACAACAGGGACCAGGTAAGGGGAAGCGCTGACTTCAGTCAAGTGTGGTCTGAAACAGAGATTGGTTCAGACTTGGGTGGTCAACTTTCTGATGTTCTGTGTGTTTCAAGTTTCTGATTCTCATGCTGTGAGATGACATTTCTGCATTTTCTAGAACTGCCTCAGCCACATAGCCACAATTTACTTAATTATCTTGAGGTATTTTTTGTGTTCTTTTTAATTCAAATATAGATTTTCAGCTTCCTGACTGGTTGCCAGGATACTTATTAGGGAGAGAGCAGATTACTTAATAGTAATCTAGTTTAGAATAGTTCTGCAAAGGCAGAATGATCCCCCATATGTGTGTTCAGTTATTCTCATTCTCCCCACCCCTCCACTTGCAGTGAATAACAAATAGTGCAGCTACAGGACTGACAAAACAGAAGAGCAGTCATTTTACCAAGTGGTTTATATTCATTTCAACTTTGAGAGAGCATGCACCGTCTAACTGAATTGCAGGATACCAGCATTTCTCAAATCCTGTTTGTTGGACAATGTAACTTCCCAGAGTCTGGGGATCCTATAAGAAGATTACTTAATTGTGAACAAATATTCCATAAGTCTTAATGATCCCACACGCCATACTACATCTCCATGGGATAGGCACGTTTGGGAAGGCATACCTGATTCATTATTTCTGTCTAACCTGAAAATAGCATCTGTGCATCAAGATCTTCGGTGTAAACTATTCTCTGTCTGAGCAGTGATGTATTTGTTGCTTCTGTGTCCTCATCCCTTGTTTTTTCACTGTCAGTACTTGAGAACTGAAACCATAGCAACGTTCATCTGTGAATGCCATTTTATAAGGCTGCTTCCCTATCTGCCAGAACACTTCATCCCAATTCATCAAATTTGGAGTGACTCCTTTTTAGTTTTCTTTTTCTTTTTTATAATTTTGGTTTTGCCTTTAATGTCTGGATTCCTGGCCAGATGGATCCAACCTTCTAAAAACAGTATTTGGCCTTGTTTAGCTTTTTACCTTTTGAGAGCTGAAAGGTGAACCCAGTGATGTGGGTGCTTACAGTGAAGTGCCGAAACAAATTTTAAAATGTAGGTGAAGCCAACATATGTGATCTGATGTCTTGAGTTCTGTCGCTCCATGTCTATTGTATGAAAAGTTGCAAATATTCCTCACTCTCTGATGCATTTACATCAGCTACTATGACACAGCCAAGATTCTTAGTGAACAAAGTGTAATTCTTGTTATACCTCAGAGTGTTTCTCTCACTTCAACAGATTTTTCTAGACTGTTCTTGTAGTGATACTCTTTTCTCTAGTCTAAAATAAAAGATTAGCCCTTATATTATTTGTAAAGAAACTATTTGAAACATAAAGAGTAATGAATTTTGAATAATTTCAACTTGTACCATTATTTAGAAAATACCAACTGCTAGATAATGGGAAGTCTGATTGCAGCAGAGGTAAGGGATGCAGTACACAAGTGTCTACTAGAAAATCCTGCTTGGCACTTGAGGATTTCTAAAGGAACCATATGGAAATTCTCTGTTCTTCCGTGATGCCAACACAGATGTGACTGAAGCAGAGTTAAAAAAGGACTAGGACTGTGTTAGTATAAATAACATGTGTAGCATGCTTGAGATGTGAGGGTTTTCTGTTGTGGATTTTTTTTTTCCCCCCCAGTGTCGAGACGTGAAATAGTTACACTTCATTAGAGAGAAGGTGTGATAAACCTGCTGGGTTGTCTGAGTTCTCAGCAAAGGCAGTAATTACTGCTGCAGCATGAATGGATCTTTGATTAGCTGGTTTGGAAGTGCTTTTTAGTGTTAGTGCTACTGCAGTACTCAAACCACGTTGCAAATGACCTTGGCTTGACATGATGATGTTTGATGGTTTTTTATATATACAAAGATGATTAACCATATTTGTTTTGTTTTTCTGCTTCCTGTCAGTTTACTTGGTTTTATGCTGAAGTTTTATCCTTAGGGAAATATAGGCCTCCCATTTTGAAAGAATTACTGTAAAAATACCAAGCCTCTCTCCTCTTCTACAGAGAGGAGGGAGTTTCTCTTTTTCTTTTGAGGTGCTTTTTTTCTTTTATTTCTTTCTTTTTTTCTTTTTTTTTTTTTGTTTTTTTTGTGAGAGTGGGGGAGGTGGTCAGATGTCAAGAATAAGCTTATGTCTTTGAAAAGTATGTGACGGAATCAATTCTCAGAAAAGGTTTTTAATATCCAAAGTCCTTGTGTTTCTTAAAATACCTTTCAGTGTGAAGTTGTTGTTGATTTGTAATATAAAACAGAATATTTCTTTTTACAGAATATTTATTTTTAGACATTCTGTTCCTGCCCCAGAGTTGCTTGTTCTTGTTTTTGTCAGTTTTTGACACCGAAGAACTGTTCCTTAGATGTTTATTGCTATAAATGGTAACCATTTACTAGTGTTCAAGTTCCACAGAAATCTCTCTGAGGAGGAGGAGAGATCTAATTTTTTCTCTGTACTGAATAGGTTAACAAGCATTGCTCTAAGAAATTTGTCAATTTCAATACCAGTTAATGTTTGCTGGGAGCAGATATCTTGTTGCTGCAACCAAAATAGTCTAGCAAAATGTTCACCTTTTGTGACTGTTTATTTTATCAATTCAGCTTCTTCCTCTTTCATCTTTTTTCCCCTTAAATAAAGATAATTTTCATGGTGGGACGAGGATACCTATCTCCAGACCTCAGCAAAGTACGGAGCAACTGTCCCAAAGCTATGAAGAGACTAATGGCAGAATGCTTAAAAAAGAAAAGAGATGAGAGACCCCTTTTTCCACAGGTGAGAAATGCTTCTCTTTAGCTCTCAACAGACTTTACAATTAAAAGTTGTGAACTCACTGGCCAGTTCCAATTTTTTTTTTATTAGTGCTATGGCAGGGTTTCATAAGAGACCTGGTTCAATACCTGGTTAGTTCTGTTTAATTAGAAATGCTCATTTTAATTTCAAAACACAGGTATTAAAATGACCTGTGTATTTGGAAAAGTATTTACATACTGGAGAAAGTTTCAGCTGGGAGATAATGAAAGTAATAGTTACAGTTAGACACGCAAATTAGTACTTGGTATATGTACTCAGAAATGTTTACACTGCCCTCCTTGCTCTCCCCCAAGCTTCATGACCGTAAACAGACAGTTTTGCCACAGAGCTCGATTTTTATCGTGCCTGCTGAGGAAGGTTTGGGTCCAAAAAGCTTGAGGGGGAGGAAGGCAAAAATCTGATTTTTTTTTTCCCCCTGTTTTGAATGTAACCAAATCGTTTTCAAAGGATAAGGAGCTCCCCCTGCTGACTTTTTGGTAAATGTTATTAAGGAAAATGCTGGCAGAGCTGGGTTTGTTTGCAGCAATGGCAGGTACAGGTACTAGGGCATAGACAAGGAGTCCAATAAAAAGCAAGTGTTTTCACTGTGCTTAGAGGGAATCAGTGTGCCTTTAAAAAGGGGAAAATTCCCCCACTGTCATTTTTCAGCTTCCTTAGCATATAAAAATTAAGAGCGCAGTGCAGTAAACTATATTTTAAAAATCTTTCTTTTAATATGTGTTTAAATATTTTTCTGTAGTTAATTGATATTGAGCCTTTAGTTTTAAGAGAAAGTCACAGCTTTGGAACAGGAGGTTTGACCATGTATTTTCTATGTTTTAGATTCTTGCCTCCATTGAGCTTCTGGCCCGGTCATTGCCAAAAATTCACCGCAGTGCATCTGAGCCCTCGTTGAACCGGGCTGGCTTCCAGACAGAGGATTTTAGTCTATATGCTTGTGCTTCTCCAAAAACACCCATCCAAGCAGGGGGATACGGTGGGTTTCCAGTGCACTGAACCAAAATGTGAAAGCATGTGCCTGTGTGTCTGTGTGCTGGTGTGTCCTGTGAGTGCAAGGTGTTTGTTCTCAGTTCCTACCAGCTCCGACCGTAAGGTTTACTGAGGGAACAAAGACTCATTTCCTAACACCAGCATTGAGTGTTCCCAGCACAGAGTCTGTGTTGCTAACTAGTGCCCTGGGAACAGCTGGCACAAGATGTGTAATGTCACATTAGAGAGATGGGAAAGCAACTTCAAAACAAGCAAAAATCTTCTTAAGGTCATCGGGTGTAATTTTTGCCTAGTTTATTGATGGGAATTAGTTACTCAGGAGTACATTTGATTTGAATCTACTCAAGCTGTGGTTGTCTGTTGTTTTGGGGGCTTTGTGGGTTTTTTTACTTCATTTAAGTTCATTATATTTGAGCAAGAAGCTTTAGATTCTTCATTTAGTTAGGCTATTCATGTGGGAAACACTTGGAAAGATAAACTTAGATTCAAGGCTGAACACAGTCAAAACTTTATTGTGGTCAGCAGAAGTAAGCAGATACAACACAGAATCCAAAGAAAGCCCTGAATAACATGTGACTCTTATCTTGAAAGTGGAAGTTTAAATTAGCACTGTGTAGGAAACATTTCTCCTACTGAAGAGTGGTGAATGGGGTTTTTTGTTACATTTTTCTCGAAATATTCTGACCTGATACAGTTTACACCATTTTGAAGTGGTCTGTTACAATGCAACAGGAAGAAATTCTGAATGTGCTTTTGCTAAGCTACAAGGCTATTGCTGGTAATGGTGCCTGTATCCTTCAGTTAGTACGGATTTCAACATATATAAAAGCATTTTAAATCTCAAGCAGGACCAAGTGCTTTAAAAGGACAAATGCTGCTAACACCCGTAATAGGAAAAGAAGATTTGAAAAAGCAGTTTTGTTCATGAAAATCAGTGTTATACTACAAATTTTGTTAAGATGAAAAGTGTTAATTACTTTAATGTTGTTAAGAGTACACTGAACATGCTTCTCTTCAGTGACAAATTGATTTTTCCACTTCCATGGAAAAGCTGCTAGTTTGACTAGGCAGAAATGAATCAGTTGGAATAGATATCTAACTGAGAAAGTTAGACACCTTACCAAAATCCTCCTCACTTCAGAGACTGATTTTCTCTAGAGCGTTTCTCTAGAACAAGTGCATCAGTGTAGTGGTTTAGGTTATATCAATCTTTAATGTCAGAAATGAAAAAAATATGTACAGACAGTGTTCTTGTATGTTTTGAGATGAGTTATGTGGTTTTACTTGGTTTAAACTGCTGAACTGTTAATTTTCACAGATTACTCTGCATTGGAAACATGCTGCCGCTGCTGTTGTTAGGACTTCAAGGCCCAGGGGTGTTCCTAGTGGCTTCTGATTTATATACTCACAGAGAAGTTTGCCTGTTGCTAGCAATACATTTTTGAAATAGATCAGGAATTCCAAAATGTTTTGGTTTACTGCTGTCTGGCAACTGAGCCTTTTAAAATGGGAAGCAGATGTAGGGAGCATGAAGAAATACAGGCAATTTTTACATTTTCTGGATGGATTATAATGGTCTTTTTGGCTTCTGCTGTTGGAATAGTTTGGGAACTAACTTTTCTCCTTTTCTTAGTCAAGAAAATTTAGCTGTTGAAATCTCTCTCTATGGAAATAGTTACAGAGGACAAAATTGTTATTGTTTTATAAAATCAGTTTCCCATCTTCCTGGTAGCTTCACCTCATTTTGGCAGGCTTATCTTAAAATGAAAACAGGACTGAAGTGTTGTTTTCCTCTTTCATTCTTTATTTTATGTATCTGTTCTAGCAGTGATGAGCAATGTTTCCAAAGCTGTGGGGTGTGGTATTCAGGACAGAGCAAAAGGATGCTACTGGGTCTCCTGCAGAATCTAGAAATGGGGCATCCCACACGGGGAGTTGCAGAGAGTGCAGAACCATCCATCCCCATTGCCCTGCCCAGGCTTATTCTTGTTCGGGTCTGCCAGATCAGTTCAAACCAGTTATTCCTTGGAGTAGTGTTATCCTTCTTGTTGTTAGATTGTTCATCTGTGCTCTCAGAGCTACAATTATGGGGGGAAAGTGCTGCTCTCCTTGGACACATTTGGCCCCACTTCCTGCTGTATGGTCAGTGCATTCTTCTTGTGTCACCTGTTCTTACTGAGCATTTTGGGTTCCATGGCCATAATGTGATTTTAGCTTCACACTAACCATTTTATGAAGCCTAAAAGGAGGCTGTTTTGTGGATCATTAACTTTATCTGACAGAGAGGTATTTAGAGGTCTCATTTCTCTAATTGCTGCTTCAATGAGATTTGGGAGTATCTGTGGGATGAAGGTGCCTAACTACACTTGTGGATTTGGGTCAGAGTTCTCAAAGGTGTAATTCAGCTATATTGTTTAGAAACAGATATCTGTTGTTTCAGAAAACATGCCTGTAGGATCCTAGGTTTTTCTGGAGGAGTAATTTATACTAGGTGAGATTCCTTTTTATTTTACTTCCTTACATATCAATACAGAAACAAAGTCTGTCTTGGTACCTTCAACATGTTCCAAATTTTTACTTACCCACTGGATAGTATCCATACAAAAGATCAGCACAAGATCCAACAGAAAACTACCTCCTTTTTTTTTTTTTCCTGTGTCTGTGAATGTAAACCAGACATGGTGTTGGAATCTGGTGTTTGCCAACGATAAATCAGTCAGTCTCTAGTTCAGTAGCTAAGGCTGGCACAGCCTGAAGGTGAACCATTCTTCTCCTTACAATTCTTCTGAGAAATATGGCATCTACCCTAGGGTAAGGAGTACAGTTCAGATGATGTGTGTACACCTTAGTAACCCCATGAATTCAGGTAGCTTACAAATTTGTGAGAGTACAGAATGGTAGCTGCATCTTAAATCCTTCCAGGAATTGGGGGTAGCAGGTTTACTCAGAACATGCTCTTGTAATACATTGTTTGGAGGCAACATGAAAGACCTTGATCATCTTTTCAGTACAGATTTTTTGAAAGTGTGCATTTAAAATGGTTTTCACTTGCTCTGCATGAGACAAGCCTGAAAAGACTGTACTAGTTGATTTGAAAGGGATTTGTAAGAAGTATATATTTTCAGATGCTATCCATCCTTTGGAAAGAAATTGCTTTGCTACCAGTCAAAGCAAATATCTGCAGTTCTGCTTGATAAAATGCACCTCAGATGTCTGGCTCACAATGAATATAAATATCTGGGGATCTTTTTGATACAAAGTTGCTAAGCATGGTGGTTTCATAGCTTGGTAGGGGTAGGTATAGGCATGTACATACCTCACCTAGGGAAAGATGTTACTGGCAACTTCATTTTACACATGTTCAGTCAACATAATCCCCTTATTAGATGACTGTGTTACCTATTTTGGTCTCCTATTGATTTGAGATCAGATTAACACTGGAATTTTGAAAGGGGAGATTTAGCATTAGCTTGTCAAAGAAAATATGGTTGCTAAGGTTTTGTTTAAATGGCAGCAAAGTCTGAAAATTACCTTTTTAAAGCTACCATTCTATCTCAAAGAAGTCTTTACTTCTGGTCCTGTTTTTCTATTGTTCTTTCCCAACTAAAGGTTCTTTTTTTTTTTCCCTTGAAAGTCCCTATATTACTCGTAAAATCTGAATTATTACCAGAAGTAGGCAGAAGGACAAGATGAGTAATGAGGGAGCCATCTCTTTTTTATAAATTTATCTTTAATCACCAATTTAGAAAGGCAGACTGAAAAATAAATTAAATAGAGCATGTTTTGTAAGTATAGCTAAGCATAAATGTCGCTTAAAAATTGACCTCACAGGCAACATTTGGTCACTTTTTGTCTCTCTTAAAAGAAAATATGTACAAAACTTGAGGTGTTTCTAGAAGATACTGTGAAGAGAGTTGGGAAGTCAGTGAAATGTAGCAAAAGGCAAGAAAAAACTATCCAATATTTAGAGCAAGAGTTTCATCTGGTGGTAGAACTAGTAAATTAGGCAATTAGATCCATCATGAAGCTTTTATTCTATTGTTGTTATAACTTAAGCCTGCCACCACAGTCTGTAAAGACACATAGAGCCTGAGCCCTGTCACAACTCCCTGTGCCACTCTTACTTTGCACTTCAGGTGTACTCCCTTCTCATTTCCTATGAGGCACAGAGCCCTTTTCCTGCTTTCTTCAAGTTGCCTTAGCTGTTCCTCACAGGCCTTTTAAATGCCTTTTCTTCCTTCTCCTAGTGCAGACAGTTGACCACTCTTCTTGGTTCTACTCTTTGTAGAGCAAGACATTCCACAGAATTAAGACTTTAGGCCTATAATTTTGTTTTCAGGGATGTTTCTGTTTTGTTTCCAGTATTCAGAATAAGACTCTTGAGCAAAAACAAAGGAAACAATACAATCATTCTTGAAAAGATGGAAGGACACCAGATAGGGAGCAGTTGTTTGAATGTAATGACATTCAAAACCCTTCTGTTGAACAGAACAAAGGCTCTCTTGTGCCTGCTTATCACTCCTTCAGTATTAGAGAAGCTCTGAGAAGTGCTGTCAAGAAAGTGGCATAAACTAACCCAAAATGCATATGAAACCCAACATGGGGAAGTTATATGTAGGTTTCTTTTCTCTTTCTCCTGAGTCCTTTTGATTATGCTTAGTTAGACACCCCTCACTAAAAATCCTGTAGAACACAATTTCTTTGTGGGTGGCAGGGCATTTTTTTTTTTTTTGCAAAAGTATAGGATTAAGAGTATTAATATCTTAGACTCCGCTTCTATTCAGTCGTCTGTCAAACTCCTGAAAGACTTCAGACAGCAATTTTAGTCTGTGCCATAGTTGAAACCCCTCAGAAGTGGGACTACAAGTCTGTCTCACAGCACGGTGACTCTAAATAAATTATGTAGGATTTCAGGACATCATCACGTATGAAAGCACTGCATATAATTGTTCTTTATTCAGTAATTCTGAAGGAAGCATGGAGTTGCTTTATTTGTTATGCTTCCTGTTAGTGAGACCTAATTTCTGGTCTGGGATTGAGTAGACAATCTCTCCATTCTTATATTTCTGTCAGTGGGTTGCTGTGTTGGTCTGTAAACCAAATTCTAGCACTCTGTAACACTGGTTTTCTATTCAGGCACTTTACTGTATATAGTCTTTAAAGGGTAATGGATGTCTCATAAAGTTCTTTGTTATTAATTAGTTTTACTACAGAACAGAACTGGTTTGCAATTGGATGCATTTATTGAAACTGGTGCTTCTCAGGAGGACATACGTGCAATAAGGAATTTAAAGTAGAATTAAGCTGACATTTAATTTTCAAATGCATGATGAATTAGACTTTGCTTGAACTCTCACCTTCTTGGGAAGAATGGGTACAGCTTGCTTTCAAGAAATCCTTTGTTGGTTAAATATGTTAGGTCTGTATTCAATGTTCTTTCACCATGTATTCTCTTGTGCTTTAATTTTAACAGTTTGCATTTTTAACATCTTTTATATTCAACCTGATGTTCAACTAGTCTCGTAACTGAAATCACCTTTTTAAACCAAGCTCTTGTCCTCCCTCTACAGGAGAATTTGCAGCGTTCAAGTAGCCACAGCACCATGGCAGCACCCACTCTGTTATTTAAGTCTTGTGTTCCTACAGTTTCTTAACATCAGAACCCCATTCTGCTCCGCAAAACCTAAAGTAATTTAGAAAAGATATCCATAGGCTTAAATTGGAGCAGAATGGAACCACCAGTCCAACACAATGGGAAAAAGTACCTTTTTGGGAACCAGAGTCCTCTGCTGCCAGTGTTTCTCCTTCAACACAAACCACCACGTGCATTCGGAGACCTGCAGTGGCTGCCTGTGCCGTTGGCATCACTCCCAGCAGAGAGGAGAGGGCGCTCATGGTGTGCCTGTGGTGCTCGGGCGCGAGGGGATGGAGCTGCTGCTGCTGACCTTAGGAGACTTGCTTTGGATGGGCTGCCGGCCGCCTTTCTCCCTCTAACAGCGTAACCATCAGAGGCTGAATGTCTGATGAGTGCTAATTTCAAAGAATCATTTTCCATTCTGATCCTTTTTTTTTTTCCTGGTGTACTTACTGATTTACGGACAACGCAGTATCCCCTTTTCGCTGTATTACAGTGTCAAACACCTCAATCTGTCTGTATTGCTGGGGTTTATTCCTTTAAAATTAAAAGTGTGGGGCAGTGGGAGCTGGAGATGTTATTCTGAAGGCAGAGAGGTTCATCTGAAGGAAAAGGGGATGCTGCCACACCTTTTTTTCAGATTTACTTTACCACTTCTTAAAAAGAACAAGCAACAACCACCACCTTAACCTTTTTCCTTTTCCAGTATTTCCTTGGTGTGTGCATACACAGCATCTTTTTGAAGGATTAGGTTGATCCTTCTTTTGTTGGTCCAGCAACAAACTGAAGTTTAAAAAAATGTAGCAAGATTGTCCTCTTTTATTTTTTTTGTATCACATGATACAATGTATTTATCAAAGATGCTACTGCAGCATCTAAAGTCTGTAGACATCCTGATACAGACTGTGAATGGTGTATGTACCTACTTTAAAAGTTTTATTTTAAACGAGGGTGCAGGTTAATGCCAGGTACCTTACCAATATGTAATGTTTTCATAAATGAGGAAAAAAGTTCTCAGGTTGAATTGAATTCAAATACAATCCCCCCCTAGAATTAGACATTCCAAAAATTATGTTTTGGTACTTTCAAGAGCTTTTTTTAAAGGATTTTTATCCTGTTAACTAAACGTCCTCTGATAAGTGTCTGTGTAAATGTGGAGCATCTTGTCCTAATGGCAAGTTGTTAGATCAAAACAAAACGGTACTTGCTGGATCCACGCTGACTACTCCTCCTCTCATTGCTTTCCTCCCTGTAATCTCTTCCCTTCTGCTTGTCTTTCCCTTCTGTACACTTTGCAAACTAGGACAAAGGTGGCGGTGTCTCCATTAGAGTGCTTTGTTTTCCTGTCCTCCAGTCCTGGTTTTCAAATGGTTAGTAGCTTTTTGAAAAGTTACCCAGTCAGGGAAAACAACAACTCCTAGAGTTCTGCACATCATTTACCTCTAGTAGAATATCTCGTGATGTGATCTGCTTGCAGAGTTCTCTGGTATGTGGTATTACCTGTAAATTGTTTGTACAAAGGCAAGGCAGACCACATGGGAAAGAAACTCAAGCTCAGACAGAAGTTTCCAGAATTTGATTCATATTAGCCCTGTGCCACTCCAGGTGAGGCAGGAGAACTGACCCCCCTCTAGCAGAGAGGTTCTTGCTGGGAGGAGGTGGGGAGTTTTTAACAAAATCATGACAAATAAATGAAGGAGTTAAATGTGTGTGAATGCGGTGTCCATGCTAAATGTGGATATACCGAGTGAGGGGGCTGTCCTTCCCTCCCTAGGGGAAGGGGACTGTTCCTGTCTGCAGAAGGTTGCTCCCAGATGAAGGGAGAAAAGCACATTGGAAGTAGAAGGTGTTTTTAATACCCTGGAATTTTGCTGTGTTGCTGGTAGTCTGTTACCTTTGTCAGTAAATATTTACTGGGGCTATAGGGACCTGACTGATCTGAAGTGGGAATTAAAACTGAAATACTGTGTATTCATATTAATTCCACAAACATTAGCAAGATAGCAATAGTGAATGACTTAATAGTCACTACAAGAATGAAGTGATTCATGTTGGTACATGAACAGAATTGATTTTGTGTATGGGACACATTTTAAAAACGAAGGAAAAAAAAAAAGCACAAATTTTTTTCTTGTCTGCTGTGGGTCTTCAGATGCTGTAAGGTTTTTACCTTAATGAGGTTGGCAGGAATTTAAACAGTAGCAATAGCCACTTTCCAGTGTGGAGAAGCTGATGCAGAGCAGTGGTAGCAGTTGGAGTGCTCCCTGGTGATCATCTGAGGCCCGTACCTGAGAGGTGGAGGGAGCCTGGGGCCATGGTGGCAGCAGGCAGGTGAGAGCATTTACCAGATACAGGCTCCCAGGGGGAAAGGAGTCCCTGCTTCCCCTTTCTCCCCATGATTGGCTCCAGCCCCTTTATGGGCTGTGGCCCTATTTGTACATGTCAGGGATACTGAGGTCAAGGTTCTCTCAAAAGAAGCTGTTAACAAAGCAAGTATGGACAGGTGGTTCAACACTCATTTGTTTCACAGAGCTTGTTAAAAGCTCTTGTTTCCTTCCATAAAGTCATGCTGGCAGAAAATTCTGTTAGGAACTTCATTCTATCTTTGCTTAAAAAGAACTTACTTTGGTGAAGATTCATTACCCATTAGTCTACAATATGCTTCTTGAGCCCATAGGAAAAGCACAAGGAAAATTGCTATCCTTGTCCATGCAAAGCACTTTATAAGTAACACATGATCTCTGGGGTTTTTTTTACTGGGGTTTGTTTGTTTGTAGTTTTGTTTTTCTTTTTTTATTTCTGGTTTTGGTTGTTTGTTTTTTTCCCTGAGGAATGTGCAAGTTATTTGGCTGCTGTTTAGAGAAGTCCTTTCAGGATGCATTTCTACTGGTTTTCTTGTTTGTTTCCCTCCAGATAGCTGTAGTAATGTGTGTTTGTCTGTAAGAGTTCCCAGGTAATGCTCATGCAAAACTTTGAAAGAAATGTAGTTTGTAAATAATTGGGATTATTTTTGGTTTTATCTTCAGGAATTTTTCTGGATGTCTTGCATGCCATCAGAACCAGTCTTAAAGATGCCCTGTAGATATTTAGAATATGGAGAATCAAGAATAGATGAGAAAGGAGTGCTCTCTGTAGCAGTGGGATGAAGGAAGTAAACTGAAATGACCAATACATTCATGCCTGTTACCCTAAATTCCTTAAGCTCCTTCGTGGTGTCCCAACCACGGGCACATGCCACAGTATGGAAATGTGAGTACATCCTTCATGTGCACATGTTGGGACAAACACCTAGAGAGTCATTCTGCTTCTTTTAGCTCTATAGTATCTTGTATTTCATAATCATTTGCAGAAGTACCAGTATCCAGTCCCAGCTATTCATGTCTCTATCAACCAGGCACAGACCTTCCCCTCTGCCTTTCCTTTTCCATAGAGGTGACAGAGGTCTGTTACCTGTTAAACCTTCCTGCTCAGTATGTGATTGTTTTCCCTGGCATATTTGCCAGAACTGCAGCATTGTGGTGGAACTCAAACCAAATGGCAGGTGGTGGAGCTCAAACCAAATGGCAGGGATATAGAGGCCAGGTTACTTTGAAAGTAATTGCTGTGTCAGTTAAGCCCTACATAGCCCCAGATACAATTAGCCCAGTCATTTTTTTTTTTTTCCTAAACTCATTAGAAAATTTCATTTCTAATCATTAGATTAATCCACTTCTGCTTTTTATGCTTACCCAAAATCAGCTTTTCTTGTACTTGAATACTCTAGCAGCTGATAATGATGCAGAATGTTTGAGAACAAATACAGTCATTTTACCGTGGTGTCTTAACATCACTTGGATTAGTATGTGCTCCTTGGAGGCAGAATTTGGCCTTTGTGACATAAAATGAGTGAAATTCTGATTGTTGATAAATACCATGTATTTACATAAATGCCCAGACTGGGGGAAAAGTACCCTGAAAATCACACATAAATAGTTTTTCTTCTGTGTTTGCCTGGGGGTGTAAATGTATCCAGCATTTTACAGAAGGCTGAGGGAAGACAGATCCCCAGATACCTCACAAACAAGTACAGATTGAAGCTTTGATATCTGCAGAGACTAAATTTAGGGAAGAAGCATGTAAACATTTCACGCTTCTGCAGCCTCTAGAATTCATTCCCTTCTTGACTGTGAGTGCAGCATTTGTAGCACCAACTCTTCATAGTACTGTAGACATGTCCTCTGTTGATAAAATGTATCACCAGTAGCACAGTGGGACAAGCAAAGCTTCTAGGTACAGTCAAGTTAAAAAGCAGTTGCATGAGTGGACTCTTAAGGCATCACTCTGAAGGTGCTGAGTGTTCTGGTTTTCTGTGATGCATGTTACGTAGAAGTTTATGAAACAAACTTTGTTTACTGCAGCCTTGTTACTGTGCATTTGCACTTGGTGTTTGTTTTGGCATGCATTTGAAAGGCCTGTCTTCACTGCTTCATTACTTCATACCAACTTCATGCCCACCATATGATGTTTAGCCAGGGCAAGTACTGAATTCTGCACCTGAGGTGGATAACCCTGGCTGTGTGTATAGACTGGGGGATGAGAGGCTGGAGAGCACAAAGGGACCTGGGGGTCCTGGTTGATGGCAAGCTGAACACAAGCCAGCAGTGCCCTGGCAGCCAGGAGGGCCAACCCTGTCCTGGGGGCATCAGGCACAGCATGGCCAGGTGGGCAAGGGAGGGGATTGTCCTGCTCTGCTCTGGGCTGGGACCTCGGCCTCACCTCGAGTGCTGGGGTGCCACAGTGTAAGAAATCTATTGCTATTAGACTATTACTAATGAACTATTAGAAAGTGTCCAGAGGAGGGCCATGAGGATGGTGGAGGGGAAGCCATATGAGGAGCAACTGAGGTCTCTTGGTGTGCTCAGCCTGCAGGAGACTGAGGGGAAACTCACTGCGGTTACTACTTCCTCATGAGGGGAAGAGGAGGGGCCGGCACTGATCCTTTTCTGTGGTGACCAATGACAGGACCCAAAGGAATGGCCTGAAGTTGCATCAGGGGATGTTTAGATGGAATATCAGGAAAAGATTCTTCATCCAGGAGGTGGTCAGACACTGGAACAGGCTGCTCAGGGCAGTGGTCACAGCACCAAACCTGACAGAGTTCAAGAAGCATTTGGACAATGCTCTCAGGCACATGGGGTGATTCTTTGGGTGTCCCGTGCAGGGCCAGGAGTTGGACTTCGATGATGTTGTGGGTCCCTTCCAACTCAGCATATTCTATGATGCTGTGATTCTTACCTTACAAATTATCAGAAGAGCAGAACCAGATTGTTAAAATGAAAAAGTTTGCATTTAAGTTTCAAGGATGCTGACACAGAAGCTACTAAGTCAGCACCATGACAGCAGTAACTATGAACCTGTGGAAGGAGGAAGCTTTAAAAGCTGCAGAATACATATTACACCAAGAGTGAATTCAGATGCAAACTTAACTTCTCTCTTTTTAGAAAAGAGTTACCAAGACCCTCTGTTCAATGGTTTACATAGGGATCCCCCAAAACAGTTTTTGTCGTTTGCCAAATGATCATGTGCCTTTGCAACCTTAAAAAGTACAACAGAATGTAAGCCGGGTGCTTTGTAACTAGAGCAGTGTCTTTGGTTTACATCTGCTGCAGTAGTTTTGTATATAGCTGTCCCTGTAGGTAGGCAGTTTGGAGTTGGTCAGCTCCTGTAAAGGAGCAAGGAGGGCAGAGAGCATTCCCCAAAATACCTGTTAGCATTTCAAAGCTAAGAACTGAAGGAAACCTAATTTAGTTACAGTAATCCTGCTGCTGGAAATCTGCTCTATCAACAAGCAGTGAGGTTCATTTAACTTAAAAACAAGCCCTCCTTCCCTTCCAAAGACACACAGCTCTTGTTAAAGAAAGCTCCAAAGAGGCCCGAAGCTACACTCTTATAGCACCGTGGAATGAGATGGTAGATGGAGAGTGAGAGCTAGATGAGGAGAAACTGGTGGTTAGCATTCATGTAATCAAGGTTCACATGTATCAGCCTATATAATTAGTTCCTTGTCCCAGGAAATGCAGTAAGTTTTGTTTCTGGATTGTCAGCAGGTTTCCTCACTGCTTCCCTGGGCCTCTTGCAGTTGCTGTTCAGTGCTCACATCCCATTTGCACGTGAACTGTGGGAAATGTAGGTGTCTTGTCAGCTGAGGGACAACCAGTAGGTGTGAATTTGATTTGTTCAGCTTTCAAACTGGTTACGTAGACTTCTAGCAGTACCTGCGTATCAGTGTCATATTTAACCTACTTGTCCATGAAGGACAAAATAATGTGTTTGGATATTAATGCTTTTTCAGATCTTTTCCTTTTCTTCCTTGGGGTAAGACTTTTGGCATAATTGTAACTGACAAAGTTGTCTAAATGCACAGTTCTTATGAGATATCAAACCAATTTTAATTTGGCTTTGTTCCTTTTAGAAAACAAAGTGTAAAAATGTTTTACTTATGTTCCAGGAACTATCTGGAATCTTTCTACCTACCCCAAATTCTGCACTAAAAGTACATGTGATGGTTTTTTTTTTTTTGGGGGGGGGGGGGGGGGGTGGCAGGGAGAGTTGGCTTTTAGGTTTGCAGGGGGAGTTGTGGGTTTTTTGGGTTTTGCTTTTGTTTTGATTTTTTTTTGTTTAGGAACTTCTAAACTACGTAGTATTTGCTTCATAGCATCCAGCAGCAGTGTGTTCAGCTCACCCAGCCTCCTCCAGAGCCAACAGTGGCTTGTCCAGTCATTTTGTCGAGTTTGTCATGTTTGCAGCAGTTGTGCTTTAGAATAAGCCTAGTGTGATATTTACTTTTGAGCAAGTAAACTACAAAAATAACTTTGTTTTCTTTTTTTATTGTTTATTTGGGTTTGGAAGATGGTCAGGTTTTGGTTTGGTAAGTGTCATTCTGTGTTGCATTTGTGTATTCACCCTTGTTGAAGAGAAAATCCATCGGTGTGTTTGAGAGTTCAGTGGAATATTAGGAGAAGAAAAGAAGCCCATCATCTGGGCATGGATGTTGGATTTAGGGGGAAAAATGGACCAAACTTGGGTGTTGGGTTATTTGGGGATGGTGGGGGGGCATAATTTAAAATAACTCTGTCTAAAATAAAGTGCAATAAATGTGCTTTTTTTATTCAAAGCTGTGAACCTTTAGAAAAAAAATACAAAAAAAGTCAACCAAAAAAAAAAAAAAAAAAAAGCACATCATTCTTTCATGAGCCTTGTGTCCTACCTGCCTCCCCTTCCTCTCCCTCTCCACACTTCTCAACTGACAGAAACCTGACAGTGGCCAACTTGCATGTGTTGGCAACCCAAATTAACATTGCTGTTCTGCTCTCATTGATGGGCTTGGGGAAAGTCCTGCCCCCTACTTCTCTTCCACTCTTGAAATCTTCTTGGGCTCCAGTACTGCCCTGTGCCTCTAGAGCAAGGTCTGTCACTACCTGGGATGCAGGAGCCAGCACATCTGCTCTGTGTCATCCTGACTCCAAATGCAGAGCTCCTCCTGGCCCTCCATTCTCCAGGTGGAACCCTCCTCCCCACCTCCCTGTGGGTGTATTGAAGGCTCTCCTGGGCTGGGCAGTGACATTGTTCTCAAGCAGTTGCAAAAGGAATCAGCCATCAGCTGCCTGATGGGATCCCCTTTCCTTGACCCAACACACACATGCAGGCTGGCCACTGTTGCCTTCTGTGACTCTGCCTTGTTTTGCAGGAGCAGGTGTAGGTGTGTGTAACCTGTCGTGCATTACTTGCACTTTCTTACTTGAGCACAGGCTGCTTTTCCTTGATCAGGAAAGGGGCACAGGTGTCCTGGGCTTCCCAGGAGAGCGCCATGCATTGAGCAGTGACAGAAGGGGTAGCACTCACTGGCTGGACTCTCTGGGGGAGTAAGAGAGGACTGGCTTGTTTAAAGTTTATAGATACCCAGATCTAAGTTTATAGATACCCAGATCTATATCCTTTAAACTTTATTATTTTTATATATAGTCAAGACAATGGCATTACCTCATAATACAGAGGCTTGATTATGAGAGGCAAAGTACACAGTAAGGAGAGGAAAGGGAAATTTATATACAGATTTGATTTCTTTTGTTTGTTTGTTCCTTAGTGCAATGAAATGTATGTCCCACCACTTTAAACTCTGTGCTAACACATTCCTTTCAGCTGTGTTCCCTTTTTTTTTTTTTTTTTTAATTGACCACCAGAGGTTTGCAAGGGGCTTATGACTGCAAAGTAGAAGGTCCAGTCTGGTTACTTAAAAAAAAAAAAACAACCCATTGTGTTAGTAGATTTCCATAGCTGCTTTTTAAAATCTACAATGGAGTAATTGTTTCTAAACTCGTATTTATTTTTTAATTCATAACAAAATGTTTATTTTTGGTTTCCTGTTAGGTAGGTCATGGCAACTCCCCTTTGTTCCTTCTCAAGTTTCCCCTGTAATTGCCAATACAACTTATTTTTCTTGTTTGTTCCTTCTCCCTTTACTTTTGTTGTCCCTTCATTTGTACTTTGGAGTTTTTCTCATGTAAATTTGTACAATGGGAAATATTGTCCAGTTTGGTTAGAGAGCATGGAGACTTAAAACATATTAAAATTTGATAGCTGAATTCAGATTGAAGAAAACTATTTCAGTGTAAAGTTATTTAAAGAACTCTGTATTATATGAAAGGCAAAAAGTTCTATGTACTTGATGTGAATATGAGAATACTGCTATAATAAAGATTGACTGCATGGAAAAGTCTGAAGGAGATTGTTTATTGTGTCATGCATGACTCCTCTCCACGAAGTTGGAGGGGTGCAACTCAGGTGGTTAAGGGGAGTGAAAAGGTTACTTTAGGATATAACTCTGAAAGGGGAGAAGAAAGAAAATAAAATCAAGGGACTCCTGCAGTGTAACCCCCCTCCCTTCATCTTCTTAAGCTGGATCACTGCCTCCTTCACTGCTGTGCTGAGCCCTAAGGCATTTTTACCTTTACTGTTCTGAACTTCTATATACCCAAGGGGAGTTTTCCTTCATCCTGGGAAAAGCCTGGCACCAACTGGTCTGGGTTCTCTTCTGGGTAAATTATCCTGCTTCTATGGCAATTTCCCCTCACCTCTTCATTGCTTATTTGGCAGGGCCTTTATTGAGAAGACTGTTACCTGCCATGCATCAGGGACCTTATTTCTTGGGGCAAGCACATTCTCTATCAAGCAGGCATTACAGAAGCTCATGTGTACTCAAGTACTACAACTTTAAAGCTGTCATGGTAATTTGCCAAGAATTCTACTTAAAATAGAAAAAAAATACAGTTCAGCTTAGACTTTGTTTACAGTTTTATTCACAAAAGGACCGAGGAGACAAAGATTTGGTTCCAGGGGCCTCAGTTAGTTCCAGAAACCTGAAAATAACAAAAGAAAAACCTGAGAACCTTTTCGCTCATCATTTTCCCACTATGCAGAGCAGAAGAAGGACTTCACTGCTGCCTTCAGCAGTAGATGAACCTTTGGTTTAGAGCTGTAATGCATGACCCAAGAGCTTAAAAAAGACTCAGTAATTAAAGAACTGGAAACAAAAGCCTCAAACGTTTAAGGGGACATCTGGACAGATGTCTCTAGAAACAGAGCATGTCTTCGAAGTTAGACAATGCTGGGTCTACACAACTGCATGAATAAAATAATTTAGAACCAGTACCAAGCTACAACTCCTAACAGAGTCAGTTGTTACAGTGCACACTTATATTGCCAAAGCTGGGCTACCTGGTCTCGGGCAGCCGTGTGTGAAGGCAGAGCAGTGCAGACACTGCCTCCTGTACCGCAGAGGCTGCGCAAGAAGGCAGTGTGTGGGCACGGCACAAACACCTGCTGGGAGCAGGGTCCCTGCAGCGGTACCAGCCGGCGGCACAGCCGGGCACGTTGCCCGGGGCTGCACCGCAGCCAGGGGCCGGCCGCGCTCAGGGCCGAGCGGGGAGAGGCGACGGGAGCCGTACCGGTGTGCTGCTATTCCTCATCGTCCGGAGGGATGCCGAGCTCCTCGTCAGTCCAGGCCGAAGCGTCGGGATACGGGAAGTGTCCCTGGGAGAGAGGCCCGTCAGAGCGCGGCCGGGGCCCGGCCCGCACCCCCCGCCCCCGGCCGCGGCGCCGGCCTCACCAGCACCATGTCCGAGTTATGCCAGAACTGCCAGAGGATCCAGAACCACATGAAGCCGCTGAGCATTTCGCCTTGAATCACCTGCGTCCGCGTCAGCTCCGGGAACTGCCGGTACCGCGGCGGGATGTGCACCCCGCCGCCCGCGCTGTAACACAGCACGGCCCCGCCTCACTCCGGGCCCCGCCGGCCCCGGCCCGCCCGCCAGCCAGCCCATCAGCCATCAG